AAAAGAAGGCATCCTAGCTTTCTCTGGTAGTCGCGTATCCCGGCGGATTTGAGTAGAGAGGATCCTTCCTTGTGGTTTCCTGTCGCGTAGCGGTAGGGCGTAGAGATGGTGGTAGGTGTGAGCGCGAAGCGTTTGGCGATGGTGTCGGCGTACTTAGCGGCGTTGAGGTAGATCGCGCCTTCTTCTTCCCGAATGTTCAAGCCGAGGTACTATGTGACGGTAGAGGAGACCGTGAGTGTGAGGTCCCTCTGTAGCTCCCCTTCGAACCAGGTGGTGATGTCGTCAGTGGAGCCGATGTAGAGTAGGTCGTCTACGTAGACGATCAGCAGAATGTAGTCGGTGTCTTTAGTGAGTCGGTACATTCCTTGGTCGTGAGGTAGTTGGCGGAATGAGGCGAATGAGGCGAGCGTGTAGGTACTGTTGCCATAGCCGCGGAGCTTGCTTGATCCCGTAAAGTGATTTCAGCAGTTGACAGACTTGGTTAGGTTCCCCGTTGGTACCGTGTGGGAGCTCAACGAAGATTTCCACGTCGACAGGTGCGTAGAGGAACGCGTTGGCGACATCGATTTGCCGTAGCTTCCTTTTCTTCATGGCGGCGATCGCGAGGAGGATTCGAAGTGAGGTATGTCGGCTAACCGGGGCGAATGTCTCGGTGAAGTCCCGTCCGTGCTCCTAATCGAATCCACGCACAACCCAGCGTGCTTTGAACTTCTCAATTGTGCCGTCTGCTTTTGTTTTAACGCGGAAGACCCATTTCCCGGTGAGAATGGTCTTGTTCCTTGCCACGCTGATGGGGACAACTTTCCAGGTGTTCCGTTCCTCCAGCGCCTTTAACTCTCTGTCCATGGCTTCACGCCATTTTTCCCTGTGTTCCCCCCCCAGAGCCTGCTGAACCGTCGCAGGCTCCTTAGGAAGAGTGTTGCCGTGGACTGCGGTGACGAGTCCGAGAATCTGCAGTCCAGTCTGTGAGTAGCGGGGAAGAGTTGCATCCTCGGGATAAGCTGCTTCATCTCCCGCTTCTGGATCAGGTATGAAATTCGGTCCTACTCGCTTCGTTGGTGTTGACTGTCGCAGGTGTTACGTAACCGTTGTCGGCGAAGTAGTAGAAGGTTTCGGCGTTGACACTTTCGCGAGGGTTATCTTCGTCCATGGGGACGTCGACGGAGCAGAACGGAAGGGGTCCAGCTTCTTCTGATGCGTTGGCCACATTCTGCTCGTCCCAGTCAGCTTCGTGTGCTGCCGAGGCGAAGGCTCGGTCACCACGAAAACCACCTGTGGGATCTTGGTCCTCTTGCAGGTTGTCAAGGTATGTCTGGAGCGTGAGTCGTTCGTAGAAAATGACGTCGCGTGCTGCTACTGTTTCCTTGGAGTGGACGTCAAAGATTTTCCACGCGTTGTAGTTCTTTTCGATGCCGAGGTGTAGTCCCCACTGTGCGCGTTGTGAAAATCGGCCCGCTCGTGCTGCTGGGGGTCGGTACTGTACCATGCATCCGAACACTCGTAACATTTTTGTGCTGCCCTGTTTTCCTGTCCACAGCAGATGCGGTGATGCGTTGTTCGGTAGTGATGAAGATGAGAGCAAGTTGTGCAGCATGACAGCGTGGTCCATCGCGTCAGGCCACTGGTGGTTGGGTAGCCGCATGCCACGCAACAGTTTGCGCATGCTGTTCTGCAGAGTCCTGTTCATTCTTTCTGCTACACCTTGCTGCTGATGGGCGTAGGGAAGAGAGAGGAGCTGCTTGATTCCCCTTTCCGCCAGGTACTGCTTGAATCGCTGAGAGGTGTATTCTCCTCCTCCGTCAGACTGGAAGCTTTTCAGCTTTACGCCCGACTCTCTTTCTGCTACTGGTAGCCAAGCAGCGAATGCTTCGAGGACCATGTCGCGGCTGGGTAGGTTTAGATGCCAGACGTAACGGGTGGCGGCGTCGATGAAGGTGATTGTGTAGTTGTATATTACTTGTCCTGGTTCCCGATTGTACAGGATGTCGCTATACACCTTTTCTAGTGGTGCGTACGCGGGTGTGCTCGGGTTGTGATGAGGAGTGAACGACCGATGTGGTAAGTCGGCTTCGGGGCAGGTAAGACATGTTCCTCGTGCCCGTTGAAGTTCTCTGCCGTCGAGTAGTAGTAACGAGTCCTTGTCAAGGACTCCTGCTCTTATTGTGTTGTTTAACACAGTGTTGCTTGGGTGTCCCATGCGTGCGTGCCAGATGTCTTCGGAGGCGCGGTGTCCGGGTGAGCGTCGATACGCGTCGGAGTTGGAGTAGAAGCTGGCGGTGAAGTTTGCGCTTCTATGGACTTCCCGTTGAGCCGGATTCAGCTGCTGTGCGGGTGTTGGTGGTGCTCCGTCAACGAGGAGTGGTGTCGTTGTTGCTGCTACTGTTGTTGTTCCTGCTACTGCCGATGATGTCTCTGCTGCTGCCGATGTTGTCTCTGCTGCTGCCGATGTTGTCTCTGTTGCTGCCGATGTTGTCTCTGCTGCTGCCGAATGTTGTATTGTTACTAACGCACGTGTTCGTTCTGCTTTAGGGATGGTATGTGAATACCAAAAGCCTTCCGGACTGAAGTCGGGGTCGAGATCCGGCGGGTGCGTCCAAGATGTGAAGGTGACGATCCCGTCACTGTCTGCGGTGCCCAGGTCTGGGACGAAATCGAGAACGAAGACATTGTTCTTCAGGACCGCCTTTCCGATGTAGAGGCCGCCCTTCCCGTGGTACAGCTTGAACTCCTGGGTGGTACTGTCGGCTTCCAGATGTATGCCTTTCGCCATCAACTGACTGACGCTCAGTAAGTTGTAGCCAAGTCCTTCTGCTATTAGGACTTTGGACATTTGCAGTATGACATTCGTCTCTCGTGACTGAAGTTGCACTACTCCTTGTCGTCGTGTGCGCAGGTTCTGATTATTGGCGACAGTGATGACGACTTCTCGTTGAAGTTGGTGCTCGCGTTGAACGAAACGTCTTGAAGAGCACATATGTTGTCCGCAGCAACTGTCCAAGAACCATGTATCCTTCCCGGACGGCTCGCTTTGAGCGATGGCGGCGTACGTCGGGTTCGGTTGAAGTGACTCGCGGCGAGGCGTGCTGTTGTCGAGTTGTTCTTCTGGTGAGTAATATGGTGGTGACTCAGTTACGCAGGAGTCACTCAGCCTTGCCATGCAGCTGACGATGTTTCTTGTTCCTTTCGCAGGTTGTCCCGTCGATGTTGTTGAGACTTGTACTGAAGTTGTCGGATTTGCTTGCGTTGAGGCGACTTGACTGCTTGAAGGGCGAAGTTGGCGTTGCGGCGACGTTGACTGTTGTCGATTCGGGCAGTGCGTACGAGGATGCCCTGAAGTCTTGCAGAGGTGGCAGAACGGAGGTACGATTTTCGGTCGATTGTTGTTGTTGTTGTGGCGCCGTTGAGTGTGAAACGCGAATTCGGGCACTGATACCTTTCTCTTGTGTCGTTCTTCTTGCAGGTCCATGTCTTGCTGCTCGGCGTGGATTTCGGCGCAAAGTGCTGCTTCAGAAATTTTCCCGTGGGCTCGTAGTATGGCGCGAGTGGAGCGCCAGTGAGGACCAAGACCGCCGATGACAACCGTGACGAAGGCGTCCTCTGAAATCGATCCTCCACATCGAAGAAGCTTGTCGCGCAGCTCGCGGCAGCGACTGATATACGCCATTCCCTTCTCGCCTGGTTTCATTTCAATTGTTGTCAGCTGCGCCATTAACCGACTTTGGTTTACGCTGTCTGTTGCTTGATACAGGCTCTTCAAGTGATTGTACGCGAGCTCCGCGGAGTTGCCGTAGCCTCGGTAAGACCGTATGTTTTGTTGTTGAGTTGGAGTGATGTTCCTCAGTAGTATCGTGTACGCCATCATCGATTGATAGGTGTACTGCTGCTTCTCATACTGTGTGCCGTTTGTTGGGTATGGCAGGGACCCGTCGAAGAAGCCAAGGATTTGCGCTCCTTCCATCATCAGCTCGAATTCGAACGACCAGGTAAAGAAATCCTTCCCGTCGAAGGGTTTTGTCGTTTGCAGTTTTAGAACGTGCGCGAACTGCGACTGAACTTGTAGTGCGTCCAGCGTTCTCTCTTGCCCCGGTGCAGGTTGTGGTTGTGGCATGAAGCTGACGGAGCTGCGCTGGGGCTCGTACGGAGCGAAGGTAGGTTGCTGTTGTTGATTCCCGCGTGCGTAGGATGAGCCATCGAGACTCATGGGCGTCACGTTGTTGTTGTTGTTGCTGTTGTTTGATTGCGCAGGTGCTCCTTGCTGATGCTGCTCGTAGAAGGACATGAAGGAGAAGAACTTCTCCATCATGCTTGGATCGAAGCCCGCGCCTTGGTTTGCGGGTGTTTCAGTAGACCCAGCTGCCGGTCTCGTTGTTGTGCCTTCCTCTGTCTGTAGGCCAGAGGCAGGAGGTGGAGTAGGAGTAGTACCAGGAGAGCCGTTGGAGGAGCTCCTCTCCTTTCTGGTAGGCATGTCTCTTGGTGTATTAGGTGTTAAGGAGAAATAATTTTAACCCTAACCAGCTCTCATACCATGTTGGGCTGAGTGCCCCTTAGGATCTTTGGTAGGGTTAAACTCTGGGTAGAGTGATGTAGTAGCGGAAGCGTTTAAATGAAGTCCTTGAACCACCCTGCGCTGGTATGTGAGGGCAAAGTAAGTTGATTAAAACAAGCAAGTACAAAGGTTTATATAAGAGTACAAAGAATACGAAGAGATATAATTAAACTGTTTTACTGTTGCGGTTCGATACAGTGCGACTCGGGCAACTGCTCAATGTCGAGTCAGTTGTGTGTCCTTGCTGTCGCGCTGCATTTGTCAAGTCAAAGGTCGCTGACCTTTGACTTTCGCGTAACCTCCAGCGGTTACTTCAACCTCCGAGGGTTGACTCGCTGGTGCCTCGATATGCTCTGCTTCGCTTGTGCCTTGGTGTTTCGACACGACAGAGGCGCTTAAGATTGTTTGTTCCCAACAACTCCCCCACTTCCAACACCTCTCCTACCCCATCTACCTATTTACTGAAAGAACCGCTCTGCACCTTCCACGCTGCTGCAGCTTCCAAAACCCTCTCCTCCCCCATCTGCATGCCAACCTGTACAATCGACACACTCTCGTATAAGCCGGCTGGAATAAGCACACAACAAGCCGCAGCAGCAACTCCACTGCCTGTATTGGCACGCAGAGAGCACTGTCAAATGGCACCCCACTGCTTGCAAGCGCAGCCCTGCCGAACCTCGCACAGGGAGCGCAGCAGTCAGGCAGGCACGGTTCTGCATCGCCATCCACCTGCTCCAGATCCAGATACTGCAGCTTCGGCAGCTGCCTGGGTGCAAAGTTCAGGTGATTTTTCAGGTTGCCCAGGGAATGCAGGGTGAGGGTGTGCAGGGCAGGGAAGGAGAAGTTTTCTGGGAGGGAGGAGATGAGCGGGCAGTTTGAAACTTTTAGCACGGCGAGCGACACTAAGCCCGGGTGTTGTTCGGCGCTGGAATCGAAGACAGGGATAGATACAAAGGCAGGGGCCGATGCAGAGGCAGAGACAGAGGCAGAGACAGAGGCATAGGAAGAAGCAGGGGCAGGGGCAGAGGCAGCTGTATGCAGGAACAGGAACACCAGCAGCGCAGCAGCAAACAGCATGGCAGGATAGAGCCACGCAGTGGGCACCAGAGACATCAGCAGCAGCACCACAACAAGAAGCAGCGATGCAACGAAGGCGATGGCACTGCCGCTTCTAGCGCCAGCGAAAGCGAGCACGGCAGCAGGGACAAGCAGCACCGAAGGCCTGATGTATTGTGCGGTGGAGAGTGCTATGAACACTAGCACGGTGAGCAGCAGCAGGGAGATGAGCAGCATCACAGCAAAGACTACAGCAATGCAGAGTGCAGCAGTGATTGCCTTTTCTGCCAGACTGTATGATTCCGCCTCGCTTCTCCCCGTTTCATACCCTTCAAAGGAAATTGGAGGGGTCAGCGACTTCACAGACTCTATACGGGAGCATGACTCGATATGGAGTGATTGTAAACGAGTCAGCTTGTACAGTGAATGGGGAAGCTCCCTTAGCTGCTCGCAGTTGGTCAGTCTCAGCTTTTCCAGGCACGCAGGCAGGCTGCTTTCACATAATCCCTCGGGCAGATGCGCCAGTGCGGGCAGGTCCAACCCGAGCGATTGTAACCGGGGTAACTTACCCAGACTTTCGGGCAGATCCCGGATATTATCAAGGTGGAGGAGCTTTAGGGTTTGCAGGTGGGACAAGGCGCCGATGTGGTGTGGGAGTGAGGTGAGCGAGGAACAGGAGGAGATGGAGAGGGAGGAGAGAGGGAGGAAGCAGATGCTCTCCGGGAGAATCTTGAGCGAATTGCAGGCGTGGAGGGAAAGGGACCGCAGCTGAGTCAGCCCCGCCATAACATTTTCGGGCAGGCATTGCAGATTCTCTGATTGAAGGAAAAGGGTTTTCAGCCCGGTCAGCAGTTGGAAGGATTCCGGAATGCACTCGAGCCCGTCAAGTTCGATCTCTAGGCTTTCCAGCCGAGCCAAGTCGCCTATCGCGTCGGGAAGCCTCGTGATGGTTCTTGCGAAGAGAGTACCGATACTCAGCTTGCGGAGGTTAGTAATGAGGTCCACGCACTCCCCAAGTCCCTGGAAACTCGTTCCCGCGCTGATCCGCAACTCCCGCAGCTGCTGCAGCGCGCCGATGCTCTCGGGCGGCGAAACGAGCTCCTGTAACGAGTCATCGCCATAGAGAGGATGAGCGCACACGTGGAGGGTTTGGAGATCCGTGAGGAGCGAAAGGGACGGCGGGAGATGCGGAAGGCAGAAGGTGGTGAGCAGGCGGAATTCTCTAAGCTTGCGGCATCCATGGAAGAGCGACGCGAGGCCGTCTACAGTGACCACCATGCGAAACTGATGCTCCACCGTTAGATGGCTCAGGAGCGGACACGTGGCGGCGAGACATTGGAAGAGCGCGTCGCCATCGGCGGATACGATCGAAAACTCGCTCAGCGACACGTGCGTGAGGGTGGGGAAGCGGCGCAAAACGGAAAGAAGGCGCGGGAGCGGGAGCCATGCAAGCTGCGCGTTGCGGAAGTGCTCAGAATCTCGTATTTCTTGCATCGATAAATCCCGATGGCGAATGGTCAGGTGGGAGAGCGCGGACGTGGCGAGGCGGTACCAGCGCTTGGAAACGAGCGCGTGGCGGAAGGAGGTCTGCGCGAGCGAGCGGAGGACGAGCGCGAGAACGTCGTCGGGGAGGCGATCCACGGGGAAGGGCGGATCGGCGCGCGCTGGTGAAACCATGGCGTTGAAACGGCTTGGGAAAGGGATGAACGGCATCGTGTGGATGTTTAGAGACGTTGCTAATGAGGCGAATTAGGGAAATGGGTAAAGCGGGGATAGACCTGCTGCCCTAGAGCGTAGCGGCTTGCCTAAACAGAAATGTAGGCAAGCGCTGCTGCGATACAGTTGGAAAGAGTGCGGGATGGAATGGGATGGGTTGGGTAAAGCAAATGGTGAAGTGGGAAACGCAACGAAGGAAACGGAGAGATCAGTGTTTGGGGCCAGGCTCGTTCGTTGTGCGCTCGGCGCGCATTGCGGTAATTGGGGGCAGAACATGTGACGGGGCGGTCAGGGGACGTCAACGGCAAGGGAGGACCGCTCACGAATTCGGATGGTCGAATTTGACTCGAGTCAATCCCAACCTTCGATGTCTCTACGAACATCCCTTAGGAAGGGAAATATGATGCAATACAGTACAGTACCAAACACATTATTTAAGGTGAATGTTCCACACAAGAGTACGGTACCACCAAACACATTAATCAAGCTGGACACTGAGGCTCTTAAACCAAGACAACATGCTAGATGCAACGAGTGTACAGTTTCTCATCCATATAGCTTCACGATCTGATTTCTCATTGGCCATTGGCTGTCATGGATAAAACCTTGGATATTGATCACTAACAAGAAGGGATGTGACAGGAAGTTCTATATCTACCACCTCTATTGTGCTCTCTGTACTGTACACTAACCTCTGCAGTACAATTATCCCGAGTCACGAAGACCGGCATACACGACCAAGTGACCAAGCGAACGCGCCCTGCAGCACTGAACAACCCGCCCTCATCAGCAACACAACCAGCTGCAGCAATAAATCCACCACGTGCAGAAGCACAAACAGAGCTTTCACATGCAGAAAAAGCCGCATTCTCCCCGACCGCACACCAGGAATGCGGTCAAACAGCCATGGGTCAGCCTCAGCACCCATCCTCTCCAGCACCAGCCGCTGCAGTTGCGGCAGCTGCCTGCTGGATAAGTCCAGGAGATTTTTCGGAACGCCGAGAGAATGCAGGGTGAGCGTGTGCAGGGCAGGGAAGGAGAAGTTTTTCGGGAGGGAGGAGATAAGCAGGCAGTCTGAAACCTTTAATATGGTGAGGGAAAATAGGCCCGGGTGTTGTTCCGTGCCATTTGATGCAACATCAAAGGCACGGATAGGTACACTATGTGTGGCAGGGGCAGGGGCAGGGGCAGGGGCAGGGGCAGGGGCAGGGGCAGGGGCAGGGGCAGGGGCAGGGGCAGGGGCAGCGGCAGCGGCAGCGGCAGGGGCACGGGCACGGGCACGGGCACGGGCAGGGACAGGGGCAGGGGCAGGGGCAGGGGCAGAAGCAGGGGCAGAAGCAGTGGCAGAGTCAGGAGCAGAAGCAGGGCTAGAGGCAGAGGCAGAGGTAGAAGCAACGGGTCGTAGGAACAGGATCACCAGCAGCAGCGCAGCAGCGAGCAGCATGGCAGGATAGAGCCACGCACTGGGCAGCAGAGGCATCAGCAGCACCGCCACAACTAGCAGCAGTGGCACAGCTGCGGCGACAGGACTGCCGCTTTCAGCACCAGCAGAAGCGTGCGTGACAGCAGAGGAGGGTTCTATCAGCTCCCGCACCGTGAGCAATGGCAGGGAGATCACTTCCATCATTGAAAAGAGTGCACCAATAATGACTCTTTCAGCGAGGCTGAACAAATTCAACGCTATTCCGGAGCTTTCAGGGAAGCTTGGAGAGGTCAGCGGCTTCAGAGACTTTATATTGGAGCATGACTCGATATGGAGGGACTCTAAACGAGTCAGCATGTATAGTGAGGGAGGAAGCTCCGTCAGTTCGTTGCAGTTGGTCAGGCTCAGCTTTTCCAGGCACGCTGAAAGGCTGCCTTCACACAATCTCTCGGGCAGATGCTCCAGCGCGGGCAGGTCCAGCTCGAGCGTTATTAACTGGGGTAAATCACCCAGGCTTTCGGGCAGAACCCGGATATTATCAAGGGAGAGGAGCTTTAAGGTTTCCAGATGAGATAATGCGCCGATGTGGTGAGGGAGTGAGATGAGCGAGGAGCAGGAGGAGATGGAGAGGGAGGAGAGAGGGAGGAAGCAAATGCTCTCTGGGAGAATCCCGAGGGAATCGCAGGCGTGGAGGGAAAGAGACTGCAGCTGCGTCAGCCCCGCCATAACATTTCCGGGCAGGCGCTGCAGACGCTTGGATTGGAGAGAGAGGGATTTCAGCCCGGTCAGCAGTTGGAGGGATTCCGGAATGCACTCGAGCCCGTCCAGCTCGACTTCCAGGCTTTCCAGCCGATCCAAATCGCCTATCGCGTCGGGAAGCTTCGTGACGGTTCTTGAGAGATGAGTAGTACCGATGCTCAGCTTCCGAAGGTCAGTGAGGCGACCCACGCACTCCCCCAGACCCTGGAAACTCGATCCCGCGCTGACCCGCAGCTCCCGCAGCTGCTGCAGCGCGCCGATGCTCTCGGGCGGCGAAACGAGCTCCTGTAGCGAGTCATCGCCATATAGAGGATGAGCGCACACGTGGAGGGTTTGGAGATCTGTGAGGAGCGAGAGGGACGGCGGGAGATGCGGGAGGCCGTCGGTGGTGAGCAGGCGGAGTTCCCTGAGCTTGCGACACCCGTGGAAGAGCGACGCGAGGCCGTCTACAGTAACCGCCATGCGAAACTGATGCTCCACCGTTAGATGGCTCAGGAACGGACACGTGGCGGCCAGGCATCGGATGAGCGCGTCGCCGTCGGCGGATACGATCGAGAACTCGCCCAGCGACACGTGCGTGAGGGTGGGGAAGCGTCGCAGCGCGGAAAGAAGGCGCGGGAGCGGGAGCCATGCAAGCTGCGCGTTGCGGAAGTGGTCAGAATCTCGTATTTCTTGCATCGATAGATTCTGATGCCGAATGGTCAAGTGGGAGAGCGCAGACGTGGCGAGGCGGTACCAGCGCTTAGAAACGAGCGCGTGGCGGAAGGAGGTTCGCGCGAGCGAGCGGAGGACGAGCGCGAGAACGTCGTCGGGGAGGCTCTCCACGGGGAAGGGCGGATCGGCGCGCGCAGGTGAAACCATGATGGCATTCATGCGGCTACTAGCCGTAGTAAGGAAGCTTACTAGTAACGCCATCTAATCAGGAGAACGGCGAACGGGGGGAAACGGTAAAGCGCGGATAGATCTGCTGCCGCCCTGGAGTATGGCGGGGTTGTCTGTTCAGAAATATACGCTAGTACTACTGCATTCCAATAAACCCATCAGGGATTGCGAGAGTCTTTGTCCCCTATCTCTGGGGTGTGTGTGTTTGTGGTTTGTTGCTTGGTTGATGCGGAGGGCTGTTTGTGGTTTCAGGCATGCTGGTGACCGCTCTCAAACGCACTATATTCAGCTGTTTCTTATTGTAACCTGCTGTTGCGTGTGTAATGGATTTGCGTGGCATTTGTTGGTTACACGTGTTCACTTGCTGTTCAGCAACGAGGTTGACAGGAGAACTGCGATTCGCATGTTGTGTTACAACCCACCCTGGTTTGTCGCCAATTGCGCCACTGCTTAGAGACATCAGCGCGCTGAATCTAAGCACTGTAGACAGTGCGCACGATGGTGAAATGGCATTCCTCCTGATCTCCGAAGGTGTGACTGGTCGAATTGAAGCAATTTGGGAAGTGGAGGAAGGTGTGGTGTGGTGCGGTGGAGGAGAAACGAACGGCAGAAGTTCTCAGAAGAAGTCGGCTGATGAAGTTTTGCAGACACAAGTTGTGGTCAATGAAACTTGGCAGTATCTTGAAGGCACGTTTTGCAGACCACATTCAGTTTCGATATAGACTCAGCCGCTGAAACTGAAATTTAAAAAATAACCAACAAATCGATATGCTGGTTATGTTGGTTATGTTGAAAAATGTGCAAGAAAGGAACTAGTGCATTTCAAAGCGAGCTTGGTTGGGAAAAAGTGCGGGAATGGACAACGATATCATGAAGGGATTGGGGTGGTCGGGGGGTAGAGACTAGTTGTGCGCTCGGCTCGCATTACCGTGAAGTAGTTTGGGTGGGTGGGGAGGGATAGAAAATGGATGACGGGGCAGTCAGGGAATGTCAACAGCCCGAGAGTGTCGAGTCGCGATACACGAGGACTAATTTTGACTCGAGTCAACACCGTCCATCGGTGTCTGCAAGGGAACGTCGTACCCTTTTCACCAACTCCAACAAAGTTGGTGACGCTGCGCGCCAAGCCCTCTCTAAACCAAGCTTTCTCCAAAAATTCCATGGCATAAGTTCCACCAACGTCCCCTTTCCCAACGCAATCCCCATTGATCATCTCCTTTTAGTACAGACAAAGCCCTTCATTCCAAATCAGTCCACTCAGGGCGACAGAGCTGCAATCACATCCAACGATGGCGTTTGTTCCTTTTCTTAGCCGCCTCAAAGCCATGGTTTCACCCGCGCGCGCCGAACCGCCCTTCCCCGTGGAGCGCCTCCCCGACGACGTTCTCGCGCTCGTCCTCCGCTCGCTCGCGCAGACCTCCTTCCGCCACGCGCTCGTTTCTAAGCGCTGGCTCCGCCTCGCCACGTCCGCGCTCTCCCATTTTAACATTGAGATACATCATCCCGAGCACTACCGCAACGCGCAGCTTGCATGGCTCCCGCTCCCGCGCCTGCTTTCCGCGCTGCGCCGCTTTCCCACCCTCACGCACGTGTCGCTGGGCGAGTTCTCCATCTTATTCGCCGACGGTGACGCGCTCTTCCAATGTCTGGCCGCCACGTGTCCGAGGCTGAGCCATCTAACCGTGGAGCATCAGCTTCGCATGGCGGTTACAGTAGACGGCCTCGCGTCGCTCTTCCGTGGATGCCGCAAGCTCAGGGAACTCCGGCTGCTCACCACCGCCGGCTTCCCGCATCTTCCGCCGTCCCTTTCGCTCCTCACAGATCTCCAAACCCTCCACGTGTGCGCGCATGCTCATTCTGGCAAAGACTCGTTACAGGAGCTCGTTTCGCCGCCCGAGAGCATCGGCGCGCTGCAGCAGCTGCGAGAATTGCGGGTCAATGCGGGAGCGTCTTTCCAGGGACTCGGGGAGTGCGTGGGTCTCCTGAAGAACCTCCGCAAGTTGAGTATCAGTAGTGTGTTCTCAAGAACCGTCACAGAGCTTCCCGACGCGATCGGCGACTTGGCTCGGCTGGAAACCCTAGAAATCGAGCTGGACGGGCTCGAGTGCCTTCCGGAATCCCTCCAACTGCTGACCGGGCTGAAAACCCTTTCCATCCAATCAAAGAATTTACCATGCCTGCCCGAGAATGTTATGGCGGGGCTGACGCAGATGCAGTCTCTTTCCCTCCACGCCTGCGATTCCATCGGGATTCTCCCAGAGAGCATCTGCTTCCTCCCTCTCTCCTCCCTCTGCATCTCCTCCTGCCCCTCCCTCACCTCACTCCCACACCACATCGGCGCCTTGTCCCACCTGCAAACCCTAAAGCTCCTCTCCCTTGATAATATCCGGGATCTGCCCGAAAGCCTGGGTAATCTACCCCGGTTGAAAACGCTCGAGCTGGTCCTGCCCACGCTGCAGCATCTGCCCGAGAGATTGTGTGAAAGCAACCTGCCAGCGTGCCTGGAAAAGCTGAGCCTGACCAACTGTTATCAACTAAAGGAGCTTCCTCCATCACTGTACAAGCTGACGCGTTTAGAGTCCCTCCATGTCGAGTCATGCTCCGAAATAGAGTCTCTGAAGCCGCTGACCTCTCCAAACCCTCCTGATGGCTCCGGAAGTGGGTTGGAATGGTGCAGTCTGGCTGACAAGGCGGTCATCGGTGCTCTCTGCACTGCTGCACTCTTTGCCGTTATGGTGCTGATCTCCCAACCGCTTCTCACCATGCGAGACCGGATAGAACCGTCCTCTGCTGCCACGCTCACTGCCACCGGTGCAAGAAGTGGCAGTGCTTTTGTCGTGTCGCTGCTTCTTGTCGTGGTGCTGCTGCTGATATCACATGTGCCCAGTGCGTGGCTCTATCCAGCCATGCTGCTCGCTGCTGCTCTGCTGGTGTTCTCACTCCTATATGCTGCTGCCTCTGCCCCTTCTGCTGGCCCTGTTTCTGCTCCTAACTTTCCCGCTGCCTCTGCCCCTCCCGCTGCTCCTGCGAGCGGATCTACCGGTACCCCTGTCTTCGATTTTGCAGCAAACGGCACAGAACAACACCCAGGCCTAGTTTCCCTCACCATACTTTAAAGTTTCCTACTGCACGCGTATCTCCTCTCTCCCAGAAAACTTCTCCTTCCCTGCCCTCCACACGCTCACCCTGTATTGCCTTGGCAATCTGGAAAATCTCCTGGACTTATCCAGCAGGCAGCTGCCCCAACTGCAGCATTTGGAGTTGGAGGGGGTGGGTGTGGAGGCGGAACCATGGCTGCTAGACTGCCTTCCCGGTGGCTGGTCGGGGAGAATGCAATTGCTGCTGCGAGTCAAGACTCTGTTTGTGCTTCTGCAGGTGGTGGAAGGATTTCTGCATATGACTGTGTCGCTGATGGGGGGGGTTTGTTCAGTGCTGCAGGGTGCTTGCACTTGGTTGGCTGGGCTTGCATGGAATTTATGCAGGTTAGCGTATGGGTGGTGCGTAGGGGAGGTGGAAGAAAACAGCCCGCTTGTTGTGAGTCACGACTGGAGATGATTGTACCATGTAATGTACAGGTTAATGTACAGACAGACCCCTCCTCTTGTGAATTTGTCAGAATTTCAAGGTTGATCTGTGCCAGCAAAGCAAATGGTCCGCGAGAAATCAGAACACTAAGAATTAATTCACACACAGTACTATCCATCGCTCATGGTTCTCTCTGTACGAGCAACAAGCACACGGATCCCCTTGATACGCACCCCTCACATACACCCTCCCCTCACTGTCATTCCTACAAATCTTCTTCTCAAAACAGTGCCGGAACTCTTTTGAAGGCTTCATGACCTTACCGCCCATCCACTTGTGATTGAAATGGTGCACACATTGGAGAGATGGCAGCAGCCACAGCGCCTCTGGTAGCACCTTTACGCTCGTGTCAACGATATACACGCTAGAGAGACAAGGAAGGAAAGACGAGTTGGAACCAAGGTCTCGGCGTGCTTTCGCCTCCCTGGAGAAACTCAAGGGAGAGCGGAGTGGGGCTGACAAGGCCGATAGGAAAAAATTCTTCCCCTTTTGGGCTGTGACAGAAGTGCAGCTGCTGAAATCACCTGCTAATGTGCACATTTCAGCTTCAGGAGGAGAATCCCCCTCCACATTGTCGCACCGTAACGCATCGCACTTCACCGCTTCACTGGTCACCCTCCCCTCCACCCCACCCACACTACATGCCTCCATAGCATCATTGCAAAACGAAAGCAAATCCAGATCTTGAATGCTGAGGCAGGAGCGAATCGCGAGGGAGGAGAGAGAGGACAGGGCGGAGGGGACGTTGTGAGGGAGGGATTTCAGCTGCGAGCAGCCATGCATGACTAGGGTTTGCAGGTTGGAGAGCAGGGAGAGGGACGGAGGAAGCTCCTCAAGCTTCCACAGAAGTGACACGGTCAGCCTGCGAAGGTTTTTAAGCTGCCCGAGTGGAGGGAGAGAGTCCAGATGGCGGAGTCCCACCAGACGAAGGCTTTCGAGAGCGGGCAGCCATATCTGGCCTTGGCAAGGGGAGCCGACCGGGCCGGGCAGGTCTCGAAGAGCCGTGCACTGCTCCAGTTCCAGGTGACGGAGGTTTGAGAGCTGCCCGAAGGAGTCGGGCAGGTTGGATAAATGATACACCCAGATCATGCGAAGGGTCTGCAGTTGGGAGAGTGATCCAAAATTATGGGGAAGGGCGGTGAGAGATGCACAGTTATGAAGCTCCAGAAGTTCTATTCGGAGCTGCCCGAAAGAGTCGGGCAGTGACACCAAACACGTGCAGTCCCTCAACCGCAGCTGCTGAAGGCTGGCCAAGCTGCCCATCCTCTCGGGCAGCTGACTCAACTTCCTCAGTCTAAGCCAGAGCACTTGTAGCAGGGGCAGGTCACAGATTTCCTCGGGCAGGGCAGAAACTTTTTCCGAGGTGACCTCCAAGTGGCTAAGCATCTTCAGTGCGCCAACACACGCAGGCAGCGCCTGCAAGCACCAGCTGTTGACTCTTAGGTAAGTGAGCGCACTTAAACACTGTAAGTGTGAAGCACATGCAGTCAGAGAAGTTAGGGATGACTCCCGCTGCCTCCTAATCCGAGCACTTATTAAGTCCAGGCTGGTACCGCTATCACCCCTTGTAGGCATCAAAGCGCACAGGAGATCATCCGGGGTAATCTCCCTCGTTATTGTCACATGGGAGAGCGAGAGGCGGAGGAGGCGGCACCAGCGCTTGCAGACCAGATTCGTCTGCAAGGCGAGGTGGATCGAGCGACGCGAGACGAGGCGAAGCACCACCGCGAGAACGTCGTCTGGAAGTTCGTTCACGGGAAAAAGAACGAAATGCGGCTCATCTTGTGAGTCGTAACCCGAATCCGACGGTGAGGATTGCGAGAAAAAAACGTTGATATTGGCGGTGAGGAATGCCATGGTGGGAATACAGCAAGCGAGAAAATCGGCTACTAGGTGAGTGGGTTTGTGTGCCTCCCTTGCCTTAGGTTCTAGTCGAGCTGTGGAGACCCAAAAACGTTATGCTCATATTAACCACTTATCCCCGGTACAAGGTGTAAGTACGCCAGTATATTAGAATTAAACCTGATTCACCAATGGATGTATGACATCTGTAAGTACTACCACAAATACCATCATGCATCCCATGTAGCTAATACAAAATCGCGGCAATGCACACACGGGTAGCTATAATTCCTAGAGTAAACAAACCCTCCTTGCACGCTCTCGCACGAATACCTGGAAAACCCGTACACCTCCGGCAATGAAAACACCGGAAAACCAAACCACCCCCCATTTCGAAAGTGTACAGTCTGTAGTGACTCCACATGTAGAAGAGATGGTGGAAGGGACTTCATGCCACAATCAAACACAAGCACATGCCGTAACGTGTCCGTGCCGCCCCTGCTGGCCTTCCCCTCCTCACTATCCAGACTGCACAAGCTTGTGCACTCAATAAGTGCCACCTTGGACAGGTTCCGAAGGCCTGAGATTGTGCCACGTGGCAGGGATGCCAGGTTGGCACATTGGTGAATGACCAGCAGTTCGAGGGATGGCAGTTGTGGGAGAGAGGCAGGGAGGTACTCAAGATTGGGCAGCTGAGAAAGCATTAGCTTGCGCAGGGATTTCAGCTGCCCGAGAGAATCGGGCAGGACAGTGAAATTGTCCAGTCTGACCAGCCTGAGAAGCTCCAGCTTTGGCAGGCAGCCTAGATCTTCGGGCAAGGCAAGGATCCCAGTGTGGTCCGTCATCTCTAGTATTACTAACGAGGACAGCCCTAACGAGGACGAAGGAAACTGCCTCCCCACACTCCAGTGGGAGTAGTTCCCTGCCAGATTCCCCTCCTGCTGTTCCCCCCCTTCCCATGGCCTCCCTTCCTCTTGCTGCTGCTGCTGCTGCTGCTGCACCACCCCCTCCTGCATCTCATCCGCTCTCTCCTCCTCCTCCTCCTCCTCCTCCTCCTCCTCCTCATCTTCCTGCATACGCCCACCCAACCCAGTACGCAACCCAATAGGCCGCGCCCTCCTCTGTTGATCCTGCCCCTGCTCCTGACTCACATTCTGATGGGGGACGGAAAAGGATCCTCCAGAAACGCCTCCCCGAGCAACCGACGAAGACGCTTGGGAAGGGGAGGGAGGCGCAAGCGATGCAGAGGCGGTGCCAGGCGGAAGGGATTCGTGGGACGGGCGGGGTGGTGGAGGGAGGAGTTGCGCGGTGAGGGGGGGCACGTGGGGGAGGTCCGGGAAAGCTGCAATGCTGAGTCGTTCCAAGCGGGCTAGGAGGTAGAGGGAGAGGGGCAGGCGCACCACCCCGCATGTGCTCATGTCGAGGACTCTCAGCTTCGGCAGGTGCCCGAAGAGTTCGGGCAGCGTGCGCAGGCTCGAAAGCTCGTGCAGTTTTAGGGTTTCCAAAGCGGGCAGGAAGCTGAAACTTTCTGGGAGAGACCGGAGCCGGTCGCAGAGGTGTATGCTGAGGAAGGATAGGCTGGAAAGCTGCCCGAACGAGTCGGGAAGTTTGGACAGACTCTCGCAGTTTGTCAGCCACAATCGCTGCAGGTTTTTCAACCTGCCCAGGCTCTCGGGCAGCTCCTCCAAAGACTTGGCCTCGAGCTTCAGCACCGCCAACGACCCTAGCTGCCCGAAATTGCCGGGCAGCGAACTAAGGACCTCTGAATGGATTTCTAGATGCTCCAAACGTGTCAGCTCGCCGATGCTCCACGGTAGGCTCTCAAAGCAGCGACTGCTCACAACCAGCTTCCTCATACAGCTTAACGAATCTAGGCTTATATCGGGTTCAATCAGTTTCGTGAACGTATCCAATCCGCGCCAGGCTGGGTCGTCCCCTAACTCGAGCACTTCTAGCTGGGAGAGGAGCGTGAGGGACGCGGGTAGCGCGGAGATCCCGCTGAGGGAGAACAGGCGGAGCTGCTGCAGGCGTGCGCACCCGCGGAAGAGCGCGGAGAGCCCTGCGGGGGAGAAGCGCGCGCGGAACTGGTACCCGATGAGCAGGCGCGTGAGATTGGAGCAGCGCGGGGAAATTCCGCGCAGGAGTTCGTCTGTCGCGTGCGGAACGGTGTTCTCCGCTATATCGAGTTGTGACAATGTCGGGAATGTGTCTACGGCGGAGAGAAGCTGCGCGGAGTGCACGGCGCGCGGAACCTTGAGGTAGACGCGCGCGAGGCACGTGAGACGGAACCAGCGCTTGCACACAAAGGCGTGCGCGAGGGAGTTGCGGGAGAGATGCTGGAGGACCAATGAGAGCACGTCGTCAGGCAGACGGTCCAACGGGAATGCCGGATGCTGATTTGCCAAATGGCAGGTAGATGCGGGACGATCCGACGGTGCATCTATACGGTGTGGATGATGACGAGATCTTGAGACCGTCGGATCTCGCACTCGTTCCAAGCCGTCGATTCCTTGTAACACGGAACTCGAGGCGATTGCGATAGATGCCATCTAAGCACGCTTTAGTAAAAAACACGTCGTTAGCGAGCGTTGGATTCGAGTAACAGAGGAACGCTAAGGAAATCGAGAGACTTTGTGGCAGCTATAGTATTCTGGAGGATGTTAGTGCTAGTGAGCGATCACCTGAAGTTCTGGAATTTGCCGCGCCCCTTTGCGTCCGCCTGCTCCGCTGGCACCCTTCCCCCTATCTACGCGAACTCTGCGCGAAAGTCCGCGCAGATTCTGCGCAGGAGGACGCAGTTATCTAGTGCCGAATGTCGCGAGCGTTGTCGTGTGCCGAGTGTCTAGTGCTCTGTGCCGTGCGGCGAAAGTTTTCGCGAAGATGGTATTCACGAAAGCTTGTAGTGGTACTCGTTACGACACGACCACCATTCAGATGAGCAGTAGATACCTTCAAAGTGGAGACACAAAGTGATATCAATATTACCGTCATCGCCCGGATATAAGACATGTATGTCTTATCTCATACATTAAAAAAATCAGTCTTATAAATGGACAAAAATCCGTTTAGAAGATACTTCCTCGTTATACATTTGCCATTTGCCCCTACACACAAATAGGTGTCTTATAATGAGACTACCCCGTTTATAAGAGACACCCGTATAATAGACAACCCCTGTCTACTATTCAACACTGTCTTATATCCGGGTGATGACGGTAGTAGAACGATTTGAAAGAATGGGACATTGCATCCAAGGTGTAAGGATAACACTGCAAACAGTACTAGCATTGCAATGCGTGCAATAGCGTAAATCACAGCAACAGCTACATCACCGTTGATGTGAAACAGCGCGTCTTATTTATTTGTAGGTTGATCAGTGGGATTGGTAATGGAACGAACCCACTCGGGCGGTCTCATACTAATGTCACTCCAAACGGCAGACACTCATGGCACACCACTCGCAAAGTGCACCTGCGGACAGAAAGAAAAACCAAACAATCGAAATCAGTCACCACAAGCATAAAACCAAAACGTTTTTTCCACAAAAGAGCAGGAGTGACAAAAACTCACCGGTTGATACCCGTCTACCTGCAGCTCGTACTTGGGTGAGTACAAGTGCACCTGCGTGGTGTGGTGGTGGCTCCCAAGAGAACCACTGACAGATCCATGGCAGCACCAGAGCCCGTTGTTCCCTTCCCTCCCGTTTCAGTTTCAACTCACACGAAGCATCTCACGAGTAACAACACTGACCGGTTGGTACCCATCTGTGTGCAGCTCATACTTGATGATCGCTGGATCGTCCCATAATCCGCTCGAAGTCGCTCTGCTTCAGTGTGCCACCAGAATCATCGACACTGCCGCATCGTCCTCTGTGCGCATGTCCACCACCACCACCCGCCGAGGTGACCTTTGAGGCTTCCTCCTCAATGCGAGTACCCACCCCCACTACCTGCCGTGACTTTTGAGTCGACTCAGGAATCATTGATACTGCTGTCTCTTTCTCTGTGCGCGTGTCCACCACCACCTCCCGCAGCCCGCCGCCTGCCAACTCCCTCCTCCTCCCCCCGATTCCCCTCCTCCCTCTCCACTCACGCCCCCTCACCCCCCCCCACTCACGCCACCTCCCCTCACTTCCGTCCCACCTGCCTCAAGCACCTGGCGGAGGGAGGAATGGGGATGTGGGATGGGGAGAACAGGGGGGAACGCGTGGCGCAGGGGAACAAGTGAGAGGGTAGATTTAGCAGCTGGAGCAGCTCATTCACACTCATCTCGGGCACCTGGCATGGAGATGAGGGGAGAAGAAGAGAAGAGCGGGAGGGGGTGAGCTGGTGAGGGGGCGGCAGTAGCTGGTGCAGCTCAGTCACACTCATCTCAGGCACCTGGCATGGAGATGAGGGGGAGGTACCGCTGCTCTGGGGGCTGTAAGGGAGAGGCGCCGCTGCTCTGGGGGCTGAGAGGAGGAGGCGCCGCTGCTCAGGGGGCTGTGAGGAGGAGGCGCCGCTGCTCTGGGGGGCTGTGAGGATGCGGCGCCACTGCTCTGGGGGGCAGTGAGGAGGAGGCGCCGCTGCTCTGGGGGGCAGTGAGGAGGAGGCGCCGCTTCTCTGGGGGGCTGTGAGGAGGAGGCGCCGCTGCTCTGGGGGGCTGTGAGGAGGAGGCGCCGCTGCTCTGGGGGCTGTGAGGGCGAGGCGCCGCTGCTCTGGGGGGCTGTGAGGAGGAGGCGCCGCTGCTCTGGGGGGTTGTGAGGAGGAGGCGCCGCTGCTCTGGGGGGCTGTGAGGAGGAGGCGCCGCTGCTCCGGGGGGCTGTGAGGAGGAGGCGCCGCTGCTCTGACGGGCTGTGAGAAGGAGGCGCCGCTGCTCTGGGGGGCTGTGAGGGGGAGGCGCTGCTGCTCTGGGGGGCTGTGAGGAGGAGGCGCCGCTGCTCTGGGGGCTGTGAGGAGGAGGCGCCGCTGCTCTGGGGGGCTGTGAGGAGGAGGCGCCGCTGCTCTGGGGGGCTGTGAGGGGGAGGCGCCGCTGCTCTGGGGGGCTGTGAGGGGGAGGCGCCGCTGCTCTGGGGGGCTGTGAGGAGGAGGCGCCGCTGCTCTGGGGGCTGTGAGGGCGAGGCGCCGCTGCTCTGGGGGGCTGTGAGGAGGAGGCGCCGCTGCTCTGGGGGGTTGTGAGGAGGAGGCGCCGCTGCTCTGGGGGGCTGTGAGGAGGAGGCGCCGCTGCTCCGGGGGGCTGTGAGGAGGAGGCGCCGCTGCTCTGACGGGCTGTGAGAAGGAGGCGCCGCTGCTCTGGGGGGCTGTGAGGGGGAGGCGCTGCTGCTCTGGGGGGCTGTGAGGAGGAAGCGCCGCTGCTCTGGGGGCTGTGAGGAGGAGGCGCCGCTGCTCTGGGGGGCTGTGAGGAGGAGGCGCCGCTGCTCTGGGGGGCTGTGAGGGGGAGGCGCCGCTGCTCTGGGGGGCTGTGAGGGGGAGGCGCCGCTGCTCTGGGGGGCTGTGAGGAGGAGGCGCCGCTGCTCTGGGGGGTTGTGAGGAGAGGCGCAGCTGCTCTGGGGGGTTGTGAGGAGAGGTGCAGCTGCTCTGAGGGGTTGTGAGGGAGAGGCACCGCTGCTCTGGGGGGCTGTGAGGGGGAGGCGCCGCTGCTCTGGGGGGCTGTGAGGAGAGGCGCCGCTGCTCTGGGGGGCTGTGAGGGGGAGGCGCCGCTGCTCTGGGGGGCTGTGAGGGGGAGGCGCCGCTGCTCTGGGGGGCTGTGAGGAGGAGGCGCCGCTGCTCTGGGGGGTTGTGAGGAGAGGCGCAGCTGCTCTGGGGGGTTGTGAGGAGAGGTGCAGCTGCTCTGGGGGGTTGTGAGGGAGAGGCACCGCTGCTCTGGGGGGCTGTGAGGGGGAGGCGCCGCTGCTCTGGGGGCCTGTGAGGAGAGGCGCCACTGCTCTGGGGGCTGTGAGGAGAGGCGCCGCTGCTCTTGGGGGCTGTGAGGAGGAGGCGCCGCTGCTCTGGGGGCTGTGAGGAGGAGGTGCCACTGCTCTGGGGGGCTGTGAGGAGAGGCGCCGCTGCTCTGGGGGGCTGTGAGGAGAGGTGCCGCTGCTCTGGGTTGACTTTTGAGTCGACTCAAAAGTCAACTCGGTATAATGTCACACGGTATCTTTTCTACATGCAGGGCAATTCTCGCTTGGAGTTTACCAAAACGAGTTGGTAATTTCTTAATTCAGCTCATAAGTGCTAGTTTACTGTAGATTTGTTTTCTACTGTTTTCATCTAGCTTTCCCCCACCTTCCCTGGCCACGCGGAGGAATGCCTCGCGATTGAGCCCTTGGGGTTGGTATTTAGCCTGCTTGCTTCTCTTTTCTGAACTTTGTGGTCTGAAGAAGGCTCGAAGAGCCGAAACTAGTTACCGCCAACCTTTCTTTTTCACAAGGTTTTTACAAGCAAGCAAGAAACCAAATTAAACAACGTTTTGCTAAACACAGCTGCTGCCACGCCACGCCATGCCTCCTATGTGGGGATCCATAGGAGGCGCCGCTGCTCTGGGGGCTGTGCGGAGGAGGCGCCGCTGCTCTGGGGGGCTGTGAGGAGAGGCGCCGCTGCTCTGGGGGGCTGTGAGGAGAGGCGCCGCTGCTCTGGGTTGACTTTTGAGTCGACTCGAAAGTCAACTCGGTATAATGACACACGGTATCTTTTCTATACGCAGGGCAATTCTCGCTTGGAGTTTACCAAAACGAGTTGGTAATTTCTTAATTTCAGCTCATAAGTGCTAGTTTACTGTAGATTTGTTTTCTACTGTTTTCATCTAGCTTTCCCCCACCTTCCCTGGCCACGCGGAGGAATGCCTCGCGATTGAGCCCTTGGGGTTGGTATTTAGCCTGCTTGCTTCTCTTTTCTGAACTTTGTGGTCTGAAGAAGGCTCGAAGAGCCGAAACTAGTTACCGCCAACCTTTCTTTTTCACAAGGTTTTTACAAGCAAGCAAGAAACCAAATTAAACAACGTTTTGCTCAACACAGCTGCTGCCACGCCACGCCATGCCTCCTATGTGGGGATCCATAGGAGGCGCCGCTGCTCTGGGGGCTGTGAGGAGGAGGCGCCGCTGCTCTGGGGGGCTGTGAGGAGAGGCGCCGCTGCTCTGGGGGGCTGTGAGGAGAGGCGCCGCTGCTCTGGGGGGCTGTGAGGAGAGGCGCCGCTGCTCTGGGGGGCTGTGAGGAGAGGCGCCGCTGCTCTGGGGGGCTGTGAGGAGGAGGCGCCGCTGCTCTGGGGGGTTGTGAGGAGAGGCGCAGCTGCTCTGGGGGGTTGTGAGGAGAGGTGCAGCTGCTCTGGGGGGTTGTGAGGGAGAGGCACCGCTGCTCCGGGGGGCTGTGAGGGGGAGGCGCCGCTGCTCTGGGGGGCTGTGAGGAGGAGGCGCCGCTGCTCTGGGGGGCTGTGAGGAGAGGCGCCACTGCTCTGGGGGCTGTGAGGAGAGGCGCCGCTGCTCTTGGGGGCTGTGAGGAGGAGGCGCCGCTGCTTTGGGGGCTGTGAGGAGGAGGCGCCGCTGCTATGGGGGCTGTGAGGAGGAGGCGCCGCTGCTCTGGGGGGCTGTGAGGAGAGGCGCCGCTGCTCTGGGGGGCTGTGAGGAGAGGCGCCGCTGCTCTGGGTTGACTTTTGAGTCGACTCAAAAGTCAACTCGGTATAATGACACACGGTATCTTTTCTATACGCAGGGCAATTCTCGCTTGGAGTTTACCAAAACGAGTTGGTAATTTCTTAATTTCAGCTCATAAGTGCTAGTTTACTGTAGATTTGTTTTCTACTGTTTTCATCTAGCTTTCCCCCACCTTCCCTGGCCACGCGGAGGAATGCCTCGCGATTGAGCCCTTGGGGTTGGTATTTAGCCTGCTTGCTTCTCTTTTCTGAACTTTGTGGTCTGAAGAAGGCTCGAAGAGCCGAAACTAGTTACCGCCAACCTTTCTTTTTCACAAGGTTTTTACAAGCAAGCAAAAAAACAAATTAAACAACGTTTTGCTAAACACAGCTGCTGCCACGCCACGCCATGCCTCCTATGTGGGGATCCATAGGAGGCGCCGCTGCTCTGGGGGCTGTGAGGAGGAGGCGCCGCTGCTCTGGGGGGCTGTGAGGAGAGGCGCCGCTGCTCTGGGGGGCTGTGAGGAGAGGCGCCGCTGCTCTGGGGGGCTGTGAGGAGAGGCGCCGCTGCTCTGGGGGGCTGTGAGGAGAGGCGCCGCTGCTCTGGGTTGACTTTTGAGTCGACTCAAAAGTCATTTTGAGTCGACTCAAAAGTCAACTCGGTATAATGTCACACGGTTTTTTTTCTACACGCAGGGCAATTCTCGCTTGGAGTTTACCAAAACGAGTTGGTAATTTCTTAATTTCAGCTCATAAGTGCTAGCTTACTGTAGATTTGTTTTCTACTGTTTTCATCTAGCTTTCCCCCACCTTCCCTGGCCACGAGGAGGAATGCCTCGCGATTGAGCCCTTGGGGTTGGTATTTAGCCTGCTTGCTTCTATTTTCTGAACTTTGTGGTCTGAAGAAGGCTCGAAGAGCCGAAACTAGTTACCGCCAACCTTTCTTTTTCACAAGGTTTTTACAAGCAAGCAAAAAACCAAATTAAACAGCGTTTTGCTAAACACAGCTGCTGCCACGCAGGGTCCTTGTTATCATACCAAATTGGTCTGATGGTCTGAAAATCAGACCTACTTTTTCTATTTCATCTGATTTTGAAGACAAGCAATTTTAGATCGTCTGATCCATAAGACCATAAATTTTATTTCGTCTGGAAAATCATACTCGGCGTTATACTTCATCTGAGAAATCAGATAATGCGTACGTTTTCGTCTGACACCAAAGTACCGAGTGCTTCCCTCTTCCCCCTACCCCCCACGCGCTTCAGCCTCCCAAGACCCGAATTCCCTCGCTCCTCCCCACTACCCAGCCGCCCAACAAAGCCAGCTTAGGGCGCGTAGCCATTTTGCATTTTACGTTTTCGACGGACAGTCCGCTTAGAACGAAGCGGACGGTTCTATTCTCGAGAACGGGACCGTCCGAATCAAAATTTTGCAACTTCGGACTGTCCGAAGGCTAATGTGACACTAATTTGGGGTTGTTGATTTTTGCGACTACTGTAGCCTCGTTAGAGGCCTTGTATCTTCGTAATTTACCTCGCGACATTTTCGGTATTAGCTTCGTTGGCGGGTCGTTATGATTTACTGTACATTTAAATTCGCCCACCAATACCTAGCCAGAAATGGTGGACCGTCCGTTTGGGTTTCGGACAGTCCGCGGTTCACAAAGCGGAGTGTTGGAAATGTGAAAAAGTGTCACGACAGTCCGTTAGGTTGGCGACGTCTGCCAACACCTCCGCGAAATCCTTAACAATAACCAGCGAAGCCAGTTACATTCGCCACGACGGACCGTCCGCAGTTCGAACCTTCGGGTGCAAAATGGTTACGCGCCCTTACCTCGAATTCCCTCCCGCCCCGCCACAATCTCCTAAATCAGCACTCATGCCCCTTCCCCCCCTGTCCGTCTCGTACGTAGCCCAAGCCCCCCACTCCCGTCTCTCGCAGGCCAACACCTGCCCCACTGCCCCATTCCCGCTCTCGCGCGTCGCAGCCCAAACCTGTTTAGGTTGTGTCGCTCTGTCTGATACAAGTAAAACAGTACACAATTCAAATTTGAAAAAACAAAAACAGACCACTATTATTTCATCTGAAATTTCAGACATGGCTTTTTCCTTCGTCTTAAAAACCAGACCAGAAAAAATTCCCCGTCTGAACGTCAGACGAAACCTTTTTTTGGTATATACTTTTCAGACGGGCTTAAATCCTAGCAAGAGCCCTGCTGCCACGCCATGCCATGCCTCCTACGTGGGGATCCATAGGAGGCGCCGCTGCTCTGGGGGCTGTGAGGAGGAGGCGCCGCTGCTCTGGGGGCTGTGAGGAGGAGGCGCCGCTGCTCTGGGGGGGTGTGAGGAGAGGCGCCGCTGCTCTGGGGGGCTGTGAGGAGAGGCGCCGCTGCTCTGGGGGGCTGTGAGGAGAGGCGCCGCTGCTCTGGGGGGCTGTGAGGAGGAGGCGCCGCTGCTCTGGGGGCCTGTGAGGAGAGGTGCAGCTGCTCTGGGGGGTTGTGAGGAGAGGTGCAGCTGCTCTGGGGGCTGTGAGGGAGAGGCGCCGCTGCTCTGGGGGCTGTGAGGAGGAGGCGCCGCTGATCTGGGGGCTGTGAGGAGGAGGCGCCGCTGCTCTGGGGGCTGTGAGGAGGAGGCGCCGCTGCTCTGGGGGGCTGTGGGGAGAGGCGCCACTGCTCTGGGGGCTGTGAGGAGAGGCGCCGCTGCTCTGGGGGGCTGTGAGGAGGAGGCGCCGCTGCTCTGGGGGCTGTGAGGAGGAGGCGCCGCTGCTCTGGGGGCTGTGAGGAGGAGGCGCCGCTGCTCTGGGGGGCTGTGAGGAGAGGCACCGCTGCTCTGGGGGGCTGTGAGGGGGAGGCGCCGCTGCTCTGGAGGCTGTGAGGAGGAGGCGCCGCTGCTCTGGGGGGCTGTGAGGAGAGGCACCGCTGCTCTGGGGGGCTGTGAGGAGGAGGCGCCGCTGCTCTGGGGGGCTGTGAGGAGGAGGCGGCGCTGCTCTGGAGGGATGTGAGGAGGAGGCGCCGCTGCTCCGGGGGATGTGAGGAGGAGGCGCTGCTGCTCTGGGGGCCTGTGAGGAGGAGGCGCCGCTGCTCTGGGGGGCTGTGAGGAGGAGGCGCCGCTGCTCCGGGGGGCTGTGAGGGAGGAGGCGCCGCTGCTCCGGGGGGCTGTGAGGGAGGAGGCGCCGCTGCTCCGGGGGGTTGTGAGGAGAGGCGCCGCTGCTCCGGGGGGTTGTGAGGAGAGGCGCCGCTGCTCTGGGGGGTTGTGAGGAGAGGCGCCGCTGCTCTGGGGGGCTGTGAGGGGGAGGCGCCGCTGCTCTGGGGGGCTGTGAGGGAGAGGCGCCGCTGCTCTGGGGGACTGTGAGGAGGAGGCGCCGCTGCTCTGGGGGGCTGTGAGGAGGAGGCCCCGCTGCTCTGGGGGGCTGTGAGGAGGAGGCGCCGCTGCTCGGGGGGGCTGTGAGGGAGAGGCGCCGCTGCTCTGGGGGCTGTGAGGGGGAGGCGCCGCTGCTCTGGGGGCTGTGAGGAGGAGGCGCCGCTGCTCTGGGGGGCTGTGAGGACGAGGCGCCGCTGCTCTGGGGGGCTGTGAGGAGGAGGCGCCGCTGCTCTGGGGGGCTGTGAGGAGGAGGCGCCGCTGCTCTGGGGGGCTGTGAGGAGGAGGCGCCGCTGCTCTGGGGGGCTGTGAGGAGAGGCGCCGCTGCTCTGGGGGGCTGTGAGGAGAGGCGCCGCTGCTCTGGGGGGCTGTGAGGAGAGGCGCCGCTGCTCTGGGGGGCTGTGAGGAGGAGACGCCGCTGCTCTGGGGGCCTGTGAGGAGAGGTGCAGCTGCTCTGGGGGGTTGTGAGGAGAGGTGCAGCTGCTCTGGGGGCTGTGAGGGAGAGGCGCCGCTGCTCTGGGGGCTGTGAGGAGGAGGCGCCGCTGATCTGGGGGCTGTGAGGAGGAGGCGCCGCTGCTCTGGGGGCTGTGAGGAGGAGGCGCCGCTGCTCTGGGGGGCTGTGGGGAGAGGCGCCACTGCTCTGGGGGCTGTGAGGAGAGGCGCCGCTGCTCTGGGGGGCTGTGAGGAGGAGGCGCCGCTGCTCTGGGGGCTGTGAGGAGGAGGCGCCGCTGCTCTGGGGGCTGTGAGGAGGAGGCGCCGCTGCTCTGGGTGGTTGTGAGGAGGAGGCGCCGCTGCTCTGGGGGGCTGTGAGGAATAGGCGCCCTGCTCTGGGGGCTGTGAGGAGGAGGCGCCGCTGCTCTGGGTGGTTGTGAGGAGGAGGCGCCGCTGCTCTGGGGGGCTGTGAGGAGGAGGCGCCGCTGCTCTGGGGGGCTGTGAGGGGGAGGCGCCGCTGCTCTGGGGGGCTGTGAGGAGGAGGCGCCGCTGCTCTGGGGGCTGTGAGGAGGCGCCGCTGCTCTGGGGGGCTGTGAGGAGGAGGCGCCGCTGCTCTGGGGGGCTGTGAGGAGGAGGCGGCGCTGCTCTGGAGGGATGTGAGGAGGAGGCGCCGCTGCTCCGGGGGATGTGAGGAGGAGGCGCTGCTGCTCTGGGGGCCTGTGAGGAGGAGGCGCCGCTGCTCTGGGGGGCTGTGAGGAGGAGGCGCCGCTGCTCCGGGGGGCTGTGAGGGAGGAGGCGCCGCTGCTCCGGGGGGCTGTGAGGGAGGAGGCGCCGCTGCTCCGGGGGGTTGTGAGGAGAGGCGCCGCTGCTCCGGGGGGTTGTGAGGAGAGGCGCCGCTGCTCTGGGGGGCTGTGAGGGAGAGGCGCCGTTGCTCTGGGGGGCTGTGAGGGGGAGGCGCCGCTGCTCTGGGGGGCTGTGAGGGAGAGGCGCCGCTGCTCTGGGGGACTGTGAGGAGGAGGCGCCGCTGCTCTGGGGGGCTGTGAGGAGGAGGCCCCGCTGCTCTGGGGGGCTGTGAGGAGGAGGCGCCGCTGCTCGGGGGGGCTGTGAGGGAGAGGCGCCGCTGCTCTGGGGGCTGTGAGGGGGAGGCGCCGCTGCTCTGGGGGCTGTGAGGAGGAGGCGCCGCTGCTCTGGGGGGCTGTGAGGACGAGGCGCCGCTGCTCTGGGGGGCTGTGAGGAGGAGGCGCCGCTGCTCTGGGGGGCTGTGAGGAGGAGGCGCCGCTGCTCTGGGGGGCTGTGAGGAGGAGGCGCCGCTGCTCTGGGGGGCTGTGAGGAGAGGCGCCGCTGCTCTGGGGGGCTGTGAGGAGAGGCGCCGCTGCTCTGGGGGGCTGTGAGGAGAGGCGCCGCTGCTCTGGGGGGCTGTGAGGAGGAGACGCCGCTGCTCTGGGGGCCTGTGAGGAGAGGTGCAGCTGCTCTGGGGGGTTGTGAGGAGAGGTGCAGCTGCTCTGGGGGCTGTGAGGGAGAGGCGCCGCTGCTCTGGGGGCTGTGAGGAGGAGGCGCCGCTGATCTGGGGGCTGTGAGGAGGAGGCGCCGCTGCTCTGGGGGCTGTGAGGAGGAGGCGCCGCTGCTCTGGGGGGCTGTGGGGAGAGGCGCCACTGCTCTGGGGGCTGTGAGGAGAGGCGCCGCTGCTCTGGGGGGCTGTGAGGAGGAGGCGCCGCTGCTCTGGGGGCTGTGAGGAGGAGGCGCCGCTGCTCTGGGGGCTGTGAGGAGGAGGCGCCGCTGCTCTGGGTGGTTGTGAGGAGGAGGCGCCGCTGCTCTGGGGGGCTGTGAGGAATAGGCGCCCTGCTCTGGGGGCTGTGAGGAGGAGGCGCCGCTGCTCTGGGTGGTTGTGAGGAGGAGGCGCCGCTGCTCTGGGGGGCTGTGAGGAGGAGGCGCCGCTGCTCTGGGGGCTGTGAGGAGGAGGCGCCGCTGCTCTGGGGGGCTGTGAGGAGGAGGCCCCGCTGCTCTGGGGGGCTGTGAGGAGGAGGCGCCGCTGCTCGGAGGGGCTGTGAGGGAGAGGCGCCGCTGCTCTGGGGGCTGTGAGGGGGAGGCGCCGCTGCTCTGGGGGCTGTGAGGAGGAGGCGCCGCTGCTCTGGGGGGCTGTGAGGACGAGGCGCCGCTGCTCTGGGGGGCTGTGAGGAGGAGGCGCCGCTGCTCTGGGGGGCTGTGAGGAGGAGGCGCCGCTGCTCTGGGGGGCTGTGAGGAGGAGGCGCCGCTGCTCTGGGGGGCTGTGAGGAGAGGCGCCGCTGCTCTGGGGGGCTGTGAGGGAGAGGCGCCGCTGCTCTGGGGGCTGTGAGGAGAGGCGCCGCAGCTCTGGGGGGCTGTGAGGAGAGGCACCGCTGCTCTGGGGGGCTGTGAGGGGGAGGCGCCGCTGCTCTGGAGGCTGTGAGGAGGAGGCGCCGCTGCTCTGGGGGGCTGTGAGGAGAGGCACCGCTGCTCTGGGGGGCTGTGAGGAGGAGGCGCCGCTGCTCTGGGGGCTGTGAGGAGAGGCGCCGCTGGTCTGGGGGGCTGTGAGGAGGAGGCGCCGCTGCTCTGGGGGGCTGTGAGGAGGAGGCGCCGCTGCTCTGGGGGGCTGTGAGGAGAGGCGCCGCTGCTCTGGGGGCTGTGAGGAGGAGGCGCCGCTGCTCTGGGGGCTGTGAGGAGGAGGCGCCGCTGCTCTGGGGGCTGTGAGGAGGAGGCCCCGCTGCTCTGGGGGCTGTGAGGAGGAGGCGCCGCTGCTCTGGGGGGCTGTGAGGAGGAGACGCCGCTGCTCTGGGGGGTTGTGAGGAGAGGCGCCGCTGCTCTGGGGGGCTGTGAGGAGGAGGCGCCGCTGATCTGGGGGGCTGTGAGGAGGAGGCGCCCCTGCTCTGGGGGCTGTGAGGGGGAGGCGCCGCTGCTCTGGGGGGCTGTGAGGAGGAGGCGCCGCTTCTCTGAGGGGCTGTGAGGAGGAGGCGCCGCTGCTCTGGGGGGCTGTGAGGAGGAGGCGGCGCTGCTCTGGAGGGATGTGAGGAGGAGGCGCCGCTGCTCCGGGGGATGTGAGGAGGAGGCGCTGCTGCTCTGGGGGCCGGTGAGGAGGAGGCGCCGCTGCTCTGGGGGGCTGTGAGGGGGAGGCGCCGCTGCTCTGGGGGGCTGTGAGGAGGAGGCGCCGCTGCTCTGGGGGCTGTGAGGAGGCGCCGCTGCTCTGGGGGGCTGTGAGGAGGAGGCGCCGCTGCTCTGGGGGGCTGTGAGGAGGAGGCGGCGCTGCTCTGGAGGGATGTGAGGAGGAGGCGCCGCTGCTCCGGGGGATGTGAGGAGGAGGCGCTGCTGCTCTGGGGGCCTGTGAGGAGGAGGCGCCGCTGCTCTGGGGGGCTGTGAGGAGGAGGCGCCGCTGCTCCGGGGGGCTGTGAGGGAGGAGGCGCCGCTGCTCCGGGGGGCTGTGAGGGAGGAGGCGCCGCTGCTCCGGGGGGTTGTGAGAAGAGGCGCCGCTGCTCTGGGGGGTTGTGAGGAGAGGCGCCGCTGCTCTGGGGGGCTGTGAGGAGGAGGCGCCATTGCTCTGGGGGGCTGTGAGGAGGAGGCGCCGCTGCTCTGGGGGGCTGTGAGGAGGAGGCGCCGCTGCTCTGGGGGGCTGTGAGGAGGAGGCGCCGTTGCAATGGGGGGCTGTGAGGAGGAGGCGCCACTGCTCTGGGGGGCTGTGAGGAGGAGGCGCCGCTGCTCTGGGGGGCTGTGAGGGAGAGGCGCCGCTGCTCTGGGGGCTGTGAGGAGGAGGCGCCGCTGCTCTGGGGGGCTGTGAGGAGGAGGCGCCGCTGCTCTGGGGGGCTGTGAGGAGAGGCGCCGCAGCTCTGGGGGGCTGTGAGGAGAGGCACCGCTGCTCTGGGGGGCTGTGAGGGGGAGGCGCCGCTGCTCTGGAGGCTGTGAGGAGGAGGCGCCGCTGCTCTGGGGGGCTGTGAGGAGAGGCACCGCTGCTCTGGGGGGCTGTGAGGAGGAGGCGCCGCTGCTCTGGGGGCTGTGAGGAGAGGCGCCGCTGGTCTGGGGGGCTGTGAGGAGGAGGCGCCGCTGCTCTGGGGGGCTGTGAGGAGGAGGCGCCGCTGCTCTGGGGGGCTGTGAGGAGAGGCGCCGCTGCTCTGGGGGCTGTGAGGAGGAGGCGCCGCTGCTCTGGGGGCTGTGAGGAGGAGGCGCCGCTGCTCTGGGGGCTGTGAGGAGGAGGCCCCGCTGCTCTGGGGGCTGTGAGGAGGAGGCGCCGCTGCTCTGGGGGGCTGTGAGGAGGAGACGCCGCTGCTCTGGGGGGTTGTGAGGAGAGGCGCCGCTGCTCTGGGGGGCTGTGAGGAGGAGGCGCCGCTGATCTGGGGGGCTGTGAGGAGGAGGCGCCCCTGCTCTGGGGGCTGTGAGGGGGAGGCGCCGCTGCTCTGGGGGGCTGTGAGGAGGAGGCGCCGCTTCTCTGAGGGGCTGTGAGGAGGAGGCGCCGCTGCTCTGGGGGGCTGTGAGGAGGAGGCGGCGCTGCTCTGGAGGGATGTGAGGAGGAGGCGCCGCTGCTCCGGGGGATGTGAGGAGGAGGCGCTGCTGCTCTGGGGGCCGGTGAGGAGGAGGCGCCGCTGCTCTGGGGGGCTGTGAGGGGGAGGCGCCGCTGCTCTGGGGGGCTGTGAGGAGGAGGCGCCGCTGCTCTGGGGGCTGTGAGGAGGCGCCGCTGCTCTGGGGGGCTGTGAGGAGGAGGCGCCGCTGCTCTGGGGGGCTGTGAGGAGGAGGCGGCGCTGCTCTGGAGGGATGTGAGGAGGAGGCGCCGCTGCTCCGGGGGATGTGAGGAGGAGGCGCTGCTGCTCTGGGGGCCTGTGAGGAGGAGGCGCCGCTGCTCTGGGGGGCTGTGAGGAGGAGGCGCCGCTGCTCCGGGGGGCTGTGAGGGAGGAGGCGCCGCTGCTCCGGGGGGCTGTGAGGGAGGAGGCGCCGCTGCTCCGGGGGGTTGTGAGGAGAGGCGCCGCTGCTCTGGGGGGTTGTGAGGAGAGGCGCCGCTGCTCTGGGGGGCTGTGAGGAGGAGGCGCCATTGCTCTGGGGGGCTGTGAGGAGGAGGCGCCGCTGCTCTGGGGGGCTGTGAGGAGGAGGCGCCGCTGCTCTGGGGGGCTGTGAGGAGGAGGCGCCGTTGCAATGGGGGGCTGTGAGGAGGAGGCGCCACTGCTCTGGGGGGCTGTGAGGAGGAGGCGCCGCTGCTCTGGGGGGCTGTGAGGGAGAGGCGCCGCTGCTCTGGGGGCTGTGAGGAGGAGGCGCCGCTGCTCTGGGGGGCTGTGAGGAGGAGGCGCCGCTGCTCTGGGGGGCTGTGAGGGAGAGGCGCCGCTGCTCTGGGCGGCTGTGAGGGGGAAGCGCCGCTGCTCTGCGGGGCTGTGAGGAGGAGGCGCCGCTGCTCTGGGGGGCTGTGAGGAGGAGGCGCCGCTGCTCTGGGGGGCTGTGAGGAGGAGGCGCCGCTGCTCTGGGGGGCTGTGAGGAGGAGGCGCCGCTGCTCTGGGGGGTTGTGAGGAGGAGGCGCCACTGCTCTGGGGGTGTTGTGAGGAGGAGGCGCCGCTGCTCTGAGGGGCTGTGAGGAGGAGGCGCCGCTGCTCTGGGGGGCAGTGAGGAGGAGGCGCCGCTGCTCTGGGGGGCAGTGAGGAGGAGGCGCCGCTGCTCTGGGGGGCTGTGAGGGAGAGGCGCCGCTGCTCTGGGGGGCTGTGAGGAGGAGGAGGCGCCGCTGCTCTGGGGTGTTGTGAGGAGGAGGCGCCGCTGCTCTGGGGGGTTGTGAGGGAGAGGCGCCGCTGCTCTGGGGGGCTGTGAGGAGGAGGCGCCGCTGCTCTGGGGGGCTGTGAGGGCGAGGCGCCGCTGCTCTGGCGGGCTGTGAGGAGGAGGCGCCGCTGCTCTGGGGGACCCGGTCGCAAGTACGCGCCCGGTCGCAAGTGTGTGCCCGGTCGGGTGAATGGGTGGGTGGGTGGGTGTTTGGGTGAATGGGTGGGTTGGTTGGTGGATGAATGGGTGGATGGGTGGATGGGTGGGTGGATAATTGGATGGGTGGATGGGTGGGTGGGTGGGTGGGTGGGTGAATGGGTGGATGGGTGGGTGTATGGGTGGATGGGTGGGTGTATGGATGGATGGATGGGTGGGTTGATGGGTGGGTGGATGGGTGGATGGGTGGGTGGGTTGGTGGGTAGGTGGGTGGGTGGGTGAAGGGGTGAGAGGATGGGTGGACGGGTGGGTTGGATGGTGGATGAATGGGTGGGTGGGTGGGTGGGCGGGTGGATGGGTGGGTGGATGGGTGGGTGGGTGGATGGGTGGATGAATGGGTGGGTGGGTGGATGGGTGGACGAATGGGTGGGTGGGTGGACGCAGGGGTGGATTGGTTGGTGGATGGGTGGGTGGACGGGTGGATGGGTAAATGGGTGGATGGGTGGATGGATGGATGGGTGGATGGGTTGGTAAGTGGGCTGGTGGACGGGTGGGTGGGCGGGAGGGGACGTGAGTGGGCGGGTGGAGCGTGAATAGGTGGGTTGGTGGGAGTGGGTGGGTGGGTGAATGGGTGGGTTGGTGGGTGAATGGGTGGGTGGATGGGTGGGGGAGCGGGTGTATGGGTGGGCGGGTAGGTGGGCGGGCGGGCGTGTGGGTGGGTGGGTGGGTGGGTTGACGGATGGGCGGAATGGTGGGTGGGTGGGTGGGTGAATGGTGGGTGGGTGGGTGGGTGAACGGTGGGTGGGGTAACAGGTGGGCGGGCGGATGGGCGGACGGGTGGGCGGGTGGATGGGCGGACGGGTGGGCTGGCAGGTGGGCCAGTGGGCGGGCGGGTGGGCGGGTGTGCGGGTGGGTGGGCGGGTGAATGGGTGGACGGGTGGAGGGTGGGTGGGTTGGTGGGTGGATGGATGGGTGGGTGGGTGGAAGGGTGGGTGGATGGGTGGGTAGATAGGTGGGTGGATGGGTGGGTAGATAGGTGGGTGGATGGGTGGTTGGGTGCTTGAGGGGATGGATGGGTGGATGGGTCGGCGGGTGGATGGATCGAGTGGGCGGGTGGATGGATGGAGTGAGCAGGTGGATGGATGGAGTGGGCGGGTGGATGGATGGAGTGAGCGGGTGGATGGATGGAGTGGGCGGGTGGATGGGTGGAGTGGGCGGGTGGATGGATGGAGTGAGCGGGTGGATGGATGAAGTGGGCGGGTGGATGGATGGAGTGAGCGGGTGGAGGGGTGGAGTGGGCGGGTGGATGGATGGAGTGAGCGGGTGCGCGGATAGAGTGGGCGGGTGCGCGGATGGGTGGATGGAGTGGGCGGGTGGATGGATGGAGTGGGCGGGTGGATGGATGGAGTGGGCGGGTGGATGGTTGGAGTGGGCGGGTGGATGGATGGAGTGAGCGGGTGGATGGATGGAGTGGGCGGGTGGATGGATGGAGTGGGCGGGTGGATGGATGGAGTGAGCGGGTGGATGGATGGAGTGGGCGGGTGGATGGATGGAGTGAGCGGGTGCGCGGATGGAGTGGGCGGGTGCGCGGATGGGTGGATGGAGTGGGCGGGTGGATGGATGGAGTGGGCGGGTGGATGGATGGAGTGGGCGGGTGGATGGATGGAGTGGGCGGGTGGATGGATGGAGTGAGCGGGTGGATGGATGGAGTGGGCGGGTGGATGGATGGAGTGAGCGGGTGGATGGATGGAGTGGGCGGGTGGATGGATGGAGTGGGCGGGTGGATGGATGGAGTGGGCGGGTGGAGGGGTGGAGTGGGCGGGTGGAGGGGTGGAGTGGGCGGGTGGATGGATGGAGTGGGCGGGTGGATGGATGGAGTGGGCAGGTGGATGGGTGGAGTGGGCGGGTGGATGGGTGGAGTGGGCGGGTGGATGGGTGGAGTGAGCGGGTGCGCGGATGGAGTGGGCGGGTGCGCGGAAGGATGGATGGGGTGGGCGGGTGGATGGATGGAGTGGGCGGGTGGACGGGTGGAGTGGGCGGGTGGATGGGTGGAGTGGGCGGGTGGATGGATGGAGTGGGCGGGTGGATGGATGGAGTGGGCGGGTGGATGGATGGAGTGAGCGGGTGCGCGGATGGAGTGGGCGGGTGCGCGGGTGGGTGGATGGAGTGGGCGGGTGGATGGATGGAGTGGGCGGGTGGATGGGTGGAGTGGGCGGGTGGATGGGTGGAGTGAGCGGGTGCGCGGATGGAGTGGGCGGGTGCGCGGATGGGTGGATGGGTGGGCGGGTGGATGGATGGAGTGGGCGGGTGGATGGATGGAGTGGGCGGGTGGACGGGTGGAGTGGGCGGGTGGATGGGTGGAGTGGGCGGGTGGATGGATGGAGTGGGCTGGTGGATAGATGGAGTGAGCGGGTGGATGGATGGAGTGGGCGGGTGGATGGATGGAGTGGGCGGGTGGAGGGGTGGAGTGGGCGGGTGGATGGGTGGAGTGGGCGGGTGGATTGATGGAGTGGGCTGGTGGATGGATGGAGTGAGCGGGTGCGCGGATGGAGTGGGCGGGTGCGCCGATGGGTGGATGGAGTGGGCGGGTGGATGGATGGAGTGAGCGGGTGGATGGATGGAGCGGGCGGGTGGATGGATGGAGCGGGCGGGTGGATGGATGGAGCGGGCGGGTGGATGGATGGAGTGGGCGGGTGGATGGATGGAGTGGGCGGGTGGATGGATGGAGTGGGCGGGTGGATGGATGGAGTGGGCGGGTGGATGGATGGAGTGGGCGGGTGGATGGATGGAGTGGGCGGGTGGATGGATGGAGTGGGCGGGTGGATGGATGGAGTGGGCGGGTGGATGGATGGAGTGGGCGGGTGGAGGGGTGGAGCGGGCAGGTGGATGGATGGAGTGGGCGGGTGGATGGATGGAGTGGGCGGGTGGATGGATGGAGTGGGCGGGTGGAGGGGTGGGTGGGTGGGTGGATGGATGGAGTGGGCGGGTGGATGGATGGAGCGGGCGGGTGGATGGATGGAGTGGGCGGGTGGATGGATGGAGCGGGCGGGTGGATGGATGGAGTGGGCGGGTGGATGGATGGAGTGGGCGGGTGGATGGATGGAGTGGGCGGGTGGATGGATGGAGTGGGCGGGTGGATGGATGGAGTGGGCGGGTGGATGGATGGAGTGGGCGGGTGGAGGGATGGAGTGGGCGGGTGGAGGGGTGGGTGGGTGGGTGGGTGGGTGGGTGGGTGGGTGGGTGTGGGTGGGTTTGGTAAATGAATGGGTGGGTGGGTGGGCGGATGGGTGGATGGATTGGGCGGGTGGATGGATGGAGCAGGCGGGTGGATGGGTGGGTGGGTGGGTGGGTGGGTGGGTGGGTGGGTGGGTGGGTGGGTGGGTGGGTGGGTGGGTGGGTGGGTGGGTGGGTGGGTGGGTGGGTGGGTGGGTTTGGTAAATGAATGGGTGGGCGGATGGGTGGATGGAGTGGGCGGGTGGATGGACGGAGTGGGCGGGTGGGTGGATGGAGTGGGCGGGTGGATGGATGGAGTGGGCGGGTGGATGGATGGAGTGGGCGGGTGCGCGGATGGGTGGTTGGCCGGGTGGGTGGGTGGTTGGGCGGGTGGGTGAATGGGTGGGTGAATGAGTGGGTGAGTGGTTGGGTGGATGGGTGGGTGTGTGGGTGGGTGGGTGGATGGGTGGGTGGGCGGAAGTGTGGATGGGTGGGCGGATGGGTGGATGGGTGGTTGGGTGGGTGGATGGGTGGATGGGTGGGTGGATGGGAGGATGGGTGGGTGGATGGGTGGATGGGCGGGTGGTTGGGTGAGTGTGGGTGGTTGCATGGGTGCGTGGGTGGGTGAGAGAGTGTGGTTGGGTGCGAATGAATAAGGTGCAAGTGTGTGTACATGCGTGAGTGGTTGCGAGTGGGTGCGAGTGAGTGCGAGTGTGTGCGAATGAGGGTGACTGAGCGTGAGTGATTGTGCGTGACTTTATGTGCGCTGTTGAGTGTACGAGTGTGATGAAGTGCAAGAGAGTGCGAGTGAGCGCTGGGGAGTCTGTGCGAATGAGGGGAGACAATATGAGGGGAGGCGATGATAGGGGAGGCGACACACCTTGTGCAAGAGCCATCGCTGCCATCCCCCGCACCTGCTGCGCCACGAGCGCCTGCTCCAAGTTACCGTTCATCCGTTGCAGCACCACGTTGCACGTGCCGCAACACCAGTCCAATCACAAGCTGCCACGTCATTGCAGCTCCTCCGCCTCCGTCTGCCCCTTGCACTCAACACCTCACACCATACACACAGCACACACACCACACACCACTCACACACACACATTACACAACCCACATACATACACCACCATACTCACCTCACACACCACACACCCCACATACTACACACAGAGACACACAAACAGACCACCCACGTCACACACACCACGTTCAAAACACACACCACACACCAGATACACAACCCCATACACAGTACACAATACACAGCACACACCACAGAAGGGACAGCACACACCACAGAAGGGACATCACACACATCTCACACCACACTCACGCCACGCACACAGCACTCACACCCAGATACAGGCAGGCTTGAACGAGGTAAAAAAGGGGAAGGGAAGGAGGAAGGGGGGTGAAGTGCAAGCAGTGGCGACGACACAGAGCAAGGAAATAGACAAGGTGAGGGGAGGAAAGAGCGTGGCGAATGGGATGGGAGGGGGTGCATGGGCTGAGGCGCATGGGAAGAAGGGCCGTGATGGCCCAGAGACAAAAAAGTAGCAAGAAAGAGCAAGCAATGGAACATGTGACGCCCGTCGCTCCTCCCCTCCCTCTCCACCCCCCACTGTCTCCAGCTTCCAATCACCAACCCCACCTCTCATACCCCCACAGACAAATCCCCCTCTCCCACCCCCCCCCCCCCCTTCCCCCCCCCCTCTCTCTTCCCCATCCCCACTCTCCCCTTTTCCTTCCCCCTCTGACCTTGTGGTGGTGCGGCATGAGGGCGCAGACACACATGAGGGAGCCAGCCACGTGTGAGCGCCTGCTTGGTGGCCTTGAGCACACTCACTCGCGTGCACGCCTCGTCTCCTCCGCCTCCGCCCCGTGGTCTGCGGCAGTGCACAGGGTGGGGGGAATCACGGGGAAAGGAGGAGGGGGAGGAGATGCAGGGGAGGAGGGTAGCTGGCAGAAAAATTGATGAGGGTGGCGAGGAATCTAAAGACTGTGGAGATGCTTCTGTGGCAACCCCGCTTGTGGCGAGAGCGATGCGCACATGCGCAGCAGCAGGCGATGCACTCCACATGCCTTGAGGGAATGAGATGAGCAAAAACACTGACTACCAAGGGGATAGATCTGCATATATTCTTAACCCAATGTGAAGGCAGAGCGAAAGCAACAATGGGTAAGCAACATGCGCAAGAGCAAGAGGAGGAAGAGGAGAGGAGGGTGTGAAATGCGAGGATTAGAGACTGGCAAGTGCGTGGGGAGGGCGGGAAGGGGCATGGCAGCAGCAGCGTAGAGCAATGGCAGCAGTAAAACGAGGCAGCGAGGGGTGAGTGAGGAAGAGAGGACTGACCCACCCAAGTGACACGTTTGACAGGGGCGGCGGTGCGCAGCGGAGAGCAGAGCAGCAGCGGAGAGCAGATGGGATGAGGGATGGGCGCAGTGGGGGCGACAGCGGAGGAGACGAGCGCTCAGGACGACCCCACCATTCTCGCCCTTGCTCTTCACACGCCTTGCACTGCACACATGGCTTCCACACATGGCTTGCACACATGGCTTCCACACATGGCTTGCACACATGGCTTGCACATATGGCTTGCACACATGGCTTGCACGCATGGCATGCACACAAGGCATAAACACATGCCAAGCACGCATGGCATGCACACATCGCATCAACACATGCCCGGCACACATGGCATGCACATCAAAGTTGACAGGCGCTGCCAGGTGCGATGAGCTCCAGGCATACGAAACAGGGATGCATGGCATTGGGTCAGTCCCACGAGTACGCAAATGGCCAGGGACAATGAAAGCAACAAAATAAGGAACGAGGGTACATGAAAGCAAGGTGTGATGCAAAGAAACCAACAAAAAAGCATGGCAATACGAGAGTGGAGGACAAAGGCGATGGTAGCCCAGGGCACTAGGGTGGCGAGCTAGCACACAAGGGGGCTAGGAAAGAAAGAGAGGCGGGCACGAGAATGCATGCATTCTACCCCCATACGACTCTAGCATGAGCTCTAACGCCCCAGTGCCATGCGCTAGCAAGCACATGCACTGACACAAGAAAACGGAGGGGATGCTATGTGGGTAAGTGAATGGGTAGTAGAAACTTAGCTGTGAGGTGGAAAAGGCAGCAGACTCGTTGGGCCACTTCCATGCACCTGCTGCTGCAGCGAGCGTCCCACTTAATCGCGCCATCACGCACACCAGCAGCAGCATCATCAGCACTCCCTTCCACTGCAGGTGCCACTGGCGCCACTCCCCCCCGTCAGAGCCCTCCTGCCACCTCAGGGACCCTAGTGAACTCTCCCCTTAAGTGTGCCTCCCTAACTGCGTTCTGCTCCCTCAGACGCGACCACTGGTCAGCAACAGGACGGACACGAGGGAGAGGCGCCGCTGCTTTGGAGGGGTTGTGAGGGAGAGGCGCCGCTGCTAAGGGGGGTTGTGAGGAGGAGGCGCCGCTGCTTTGGGGGGCTGTGGGGAGGGGGCGCCACTGCTCTGGGGGGCTGTGAGGAGGAGGCGCCGCTGCTCTGGGGGGCTGTGAGGAGGAGGCGCCGCTGCTCTGGGGGGCTGTGAGGAGGAGGCGCCGCTGCTCTGGGGGGCTGTGAGGGAGAGGCGCCGCTGCTCTGGGGGGCTGTGAGGAGGAGGCGCCGCTGCTCTGGGGGGCTGTGAGGAGGAGGCGCCGCTGCTCTGGGGGGCTGTGAGGAGGAGGCGCCGCTGCTCTGGGGGGCTGTGAGGGAGAGGCGCCGCTGCTCTGGGGGGCTGTGAGGGAGAGGCGCCGTTGCTCTGGGGGGCTGTGAGGGGGAGGCGCCGCTGCTCTGGGGGGCTGTGAGGGAGAGGCGCCGCTGCTCTGGGGGACTGTGAGGAGGAGGCGCCGCTGCTCTGGGGGGCTGTGAGGAGGAGGCGCCGCTGCTCTGGGGGGCTGTGAGGAGGAGGCGCCGCTGCTCTGGGGGGCTGTGAGGGAGAGGCGCCGCTGCTCTGGGGGGCTGTGAGGAGGAGGCGCCGCTGCTCTGGGGGGCTGTGAGGAGGAGGCGCCGCTGCTCTGGGGGGCTGTGAGGAGGAGGCGCCGCTGCTCTGGGGGGCTGTGAGGGAGAGGCGCCGCTGCTCTGGGGGGCTGTGAGGGAGAGGCGCCGTTGCTCTGGGGGGCTGTGAGGGGGAGGCGCCGCTGCTCTGGGGGGCTGTGAGGGAGAGGCGCCGCTGCTCTGGGGGACTGTGAGGAGGAGGCGCCGCTGCTCTGGGGGGCTGTGAGGAGGAGGCGCCGCTGCTCTGGGGGGCTGTGAGGAGGAGGCGCCGCTGCTCTAGGGGGCTGTGAGGAGGAGGCGCCGCTGCTCTGGGGGGCTGTGAGGAGGAGGCGCCGCTGCTCTGGGGGGCTGTGAGGAGGAGGCGCCGCTGCTCTGGGGGGTTGTGAGGAGGAGGCGCCGCTGCTCTGGGGGGCTGTAGGGAGAGGCGCCGCTGCTCTGGGGGGCTGTGAGGGAGAGGCGCCGCTGCTCTGGGGGGCTGTGAGGAGGAGGCGCCGCTGCTCTGGGGGGCAGTGAGGAGGAGGCGCCGCTGCTCTGGGGGGCTGTGAGGAGGAGGTGCCGCTGCTTTGAGGGGCTGTGAGGAGGAGGCGCCGCTGCTCTGGGGGGCTGTGAGGAGGAGGCGCCGCTGCTCTGGGGGGCTGTGAGGAGGAGGCGCCGCTGCTCTGGGGGGCTGTGAGGAGGAGGCGCCGCTGCTCTGGGGGGTTGTGAGAAGGAGGCGCCGCTGCTCTGGGGGGCTGTGAGGAGGAGGCGCCGCTGCTCCGGGGGGCTGTGAGGAGGAGGCGCCGCTGCTCTGGCGGGCTGTGAGGAGGAGGCGCCGCTGCTCTGGGGGGCTGTGAGGAGGAGGCGCCGCTGCTCTGGGGGGCTGTGAGGGAGAGGCGCCGCTGCTCTGGGGGGCTGTGAGGAGGAGGCGCCGCTGCTCTGGGGGGCTGTGAGGAGGAGGCGCCGCTGCTCTGGGGGGCTGTGAGGAGGAAGCGCCGCTGCTCTGGGGGGCTGTGAGGAGGAGGCGCCGCTGCTCTGGGGGGCTGTGAGGAGGAGGCGCCGCTGCTCTGGGGGGCTGTGAGGAGGAGGCGCCGCTGCTCTGGGGGGCTGTGAGGAGGAGGCGCCGCTGCTCTGGGGGGCTGTGAGGAGGAGGCGCCGCTGCTCTGGGGGGCTGTGAGGAAGAGGCGCCGCCGCTCTGAGGGGATGTGAGGAGGAGGCGCCGCTGCTCTGGGGCCTGTGAGGGAGAGGCGCCGCCGCTCTGGGGGCTATGAGGGAGAGGCGCCGCCGCTCTGGGGGCTGTGAGGGAGAGGCGCCGCCGCTCTGGGGGCTATGAGGGAGAGGCGCCGCTGCTCTGGGGGCTGAGAGGCAGAGGCGCTGCTGCTCTGGGGGCTGTGAGGGAGAGGCGCTGCCACTCTGGGGGGTTGTGAGGGAGAGGCGCCGCTGCTCTGGGGGCTGTGAAGGAGAGGCGCCGCTGCTCTGGGGGCTGTGAGGGAGAGGCGCCGCTGCTCTGGGGGGTTGTGATGAAGAGGCGCCGCTGCTCTGGGGGTTGTGAGGGAGAGGCGCCGCTGTCCTCCCTGCTATCTCGGGGCACCACTGTCGCCTCCAGCCTCTGCAGTCATTGCCACGCCAGAGGGCCGCACTCCACACGCCTTGAGGGAAAGGGATGCGCAGACACGGCGCTGGCGCATGGCGATGCAATGGAGGGCAGCGAGGAAGCAAGAGTAGAGCCAACGTGCAGCAGGAGCAACAAGGACGTGCGAACAGAGAGGACAACGAGCAGAACAAGTGTGAGTGAGTGGTAACACAAGACTGCGGGTGGTTGGAATGTGTGGGGACGGGAGCGCATGGCCCACGGCACTACATTAGCGAGGCAGCGAGGGGTGAGTGGGGAAGAGAGTGACGCGCAAATGGTCTGAATGCATAGCAACCCCCTTCACTCCACATGAGCTCACTGCCGTCATGAGCCACCAACGCCATGCACCACACAAGTAGCAAGTGAAAAACGTGCAGCAGCAACGAAACAGAGTCATGGGGGCTATCACCAAGGTGGGTGTTAGGTGGGAGGATAAGGACGCTTACGAAGGGGAAGTTAGCTGTGGCAGGGATCCGTTGTAAGTCGTACGCTGCTCGGCGCTTTTAAAAGTAAGCCGGCATTCGCCGATCCTCAGTGCAAGCGCGTCGATCCTCCAAAGTCACGTCCAATTCTCGAACCAGCGTCCAAAGCGGAAGACTCCAGCGATGGCGCCAGCAGCAGTCGCCAGTCGCCTGCAGGTCGCTGCCATGGTCGCGTGCAGACGGCAGGCATGGTCGCGCGCAGACGGCAGGCATGGTCGCGCGCAGGCCATGGCGGTCATGAACGCCAACACTCCGCATCGTTGCCAATGAACAGAGCCAACGCCAAACCCACAGGGTGCTGCACGTACGCACGGCTCGCCGCATAAACAAGTCAGAAACGTATGCAGGGATGTCGGAAGAGCTGCACTTGCAACGTCAGGCGAGTGAGCGCCGTGGCGGAATCGTTACACGTCGCGCCTGCTGCAGTGACCATTGTGAGACATCTCCGGTCTGCGAGAGGCTGGGAATACTACGCCGTCGTTCGTTTGAGACGAAGCGGTTCGCGTCGCTGCCGTCTCACCTCTCCACTGGTCCCCGTCGACCTTCACAGCTTCAGCGGTCCACGCATGTAGCAACTGGTCCTCCCCGTCAGTCGTTTTTAACACTCTTCAGCATTCCGTCGCGTGTAGATGCGCCAGCACAAGGAACGACAGATGCGTGCTGCCTGGGGCTCCCAAGATAGACCATCTCAGTAGAAACTGAATACTGTCATTTGCAGCATCTGGAGCTTCAGGAACAGTCGGCGAAAGAGGAGCCATAGAACGACGCCAGATAAGTGCATAATCTTCAACATATTGAATGGGGATCTGTCAACAGACGAAGTTTTTTATGATTGAGAAGATCTGCAACTATGATGTGGAATTGAACTACCATGGCTTACGATCAAGAAATGGGTCAGCAGTCACCTTCCAGGGTAGCGGGAGAACGATCAAGAAATGGGTCGAGGAAGCTTGGTTGGGAAGTCATTGAAACCTCTCAAGCAGACAGACGAATCTCAGGTCCCTTTTTTGTTCGATTAGGTTCGTAGTGGTAAGTCGCGGTTCTATAGCGCTCCATTCTGCTGGTTGCTTGTGAACAGTTATAAAACCTGACAAAACAAAATGGAGTTCAACATCTTCTCAAAGAACTTAAAACCAATATATTGAGCGTACTCCACCTCTATGACGATCATGTCATTAAGAAGACGACGAGCTTTTAGGTGAAAATAATATCACCTTTAATGTGAAGCTGGTGCAGATTGGTGGATTCCATTACTGATTTGGATTGGAACTTAAATGGTACATCCACTTTGAGTGACAAGCTGACGAACCCTGCATGTACCGTATTAATGGGTTGGATAAATGCTGGTATGGTTGCTGCTACCGGTACCAGTTTCAACTCTATGCCATTGAGTCCAGTAAAAAATGTCACTGAATCCAAGGGTAGCATGTAGGATGAGACAGTGTTTAGCACACTGGTAGAAAGCTTCATCCTTAGTCTATGAAGTGTAATGATGTGCGTGCGGTTTGCATCCAGAACCCAATCAATAAAAGCCCCTGAAAAGAAAAACCGAAGTGCCGTTAGTCTCTTAAGTGCTTTAGATTAGTCAAGACAAAATCGATCACTCTCATCTCATAAATGTGCCTGGTGCTGACAGCAGACAAGTACTGTACGGGGAACTTACTGTTTGTGATGAGAGCCTGGCCAGCTGAAGGTGATCCGGATGGCTCGGAACTTATTGATATTATTGCTTAAAATGGTGGACTCCAGATTGGTTGATATGACGACTTATTAGCGGGTATCCAGGGTCAACAAAAATGTCCTCATCTGAAGCGTCAATGAAAGGCGACCTCATGATGAACGTGACTCGTAATATACTTAAGCATTCCCATTATTACAGCCATATATGGTCTCTGCACGGAAAATAAGCGTCAAGAGGAGTGTCGACATCCTAGGTGTAAAAGAAATGCCATTCTCACCGTGTGAACGGGTGACTGGAAACCAAGCTTAAACCTGTGCATCCTCATATCCACCTGCGTGCACATGAAGCAATGAAAAAACTGACTGACGGGAAAGCAAAATGGGATTTAGAAAAGGAGTACAAGCACCAGTATAGCCGATTCAATTCTTTAGCAGTGAAGAAGCTTCTTTAGCAGTGAGGAAGCTGCCTTGTGAAGTCTTCCAGCCAGCTTAACACGCTTCCATTAACATTCACAAGGACGTGCATTTTTTACGGGTGAGACATTAGAGTAGAATGAACGAATGGTCGGCGACCTGACAGCCAGGCGTACACTTGGCAAAGTTGACGTTCTTCGGAAAAAAAAAACTACGCTCTCGGTCTTGCCCGTTCCTAGGCCTGAAATGACATGATTTTCGTATGAATGTGCTAAGATTGACGGCTTCTAGCAGAAATCACGCTGCGTGTGGTGTGTGAAAAGTTAGCTGGAGATTAGGTGAAAGACGAAGGCTCACAGCAGCAAAAATCGAGAAAACGAATTTCTCGGCCCTGCCTGTCTTCCAGCAACCAACCCGCGGACTGTTCTGGGGTCAGTCAGCTCGAGATCAGGATGGAAAGGAGCTTCGTTTGAGGAACACATTGTTGTCCGCATAAAGTTCTTACAACACAACTCTCTCAAGTTTTGAAAAGAATCAATATAGGATGTTCAAGTCGAGAGTATAGGAAATTCTCAATTTGTCATTGATAGTAACTCATCCATCACATCAAGATGTTAGAGACTTCTCTAGGCATAACCAAATGGCAATGAAATTATGCTACCGGTATCACCTATCGTCCATAGTTTTACGGTATTGCAAAACTCAAAAGCAGCCCCAGCAAACTCTTCCCCACAAGTGAGGCTGATTGCCTTGTTGGATTTTTTTTTTTGTATCTGTTCTGTTCGTTGTCATTTCGATTTTTATAAAAATCCCTGCAGTTGCTCAGTCACTCACTCGTGATATATTGCGGTTGAGGTGAATTAGCCAAACATACGGGACACACTGCAACTTGTGGCCTCACAGAAGGAACAGCAGCAACAGGAGCAACAGGAGCTGTACCGCAAGTGCTGCTGGTGGTGGTGTTGCTTGTGGTGGCGACAACTCCTTGATTGCCATGCAGAGCAGCTCCAGCCATGAATGACGATACTGGCCAAAACACACTGATTAGCACTGGGCAAATCTTTTTTCACCCTGACTGTCAGGCAAAGGGGCCAGGGGGACCCTGATATGGCAGGGTGCCCCGAAACCAATTTTTGGCCCTGCTGCCACCCACCTATCCCAGCCGCGGCATATGGTATTGGCCTCCCTAATGTTTTCTAAAGACTCCCGGGCCCCAGCCTGACTAGTGAACAACAGAGCTTTGACCATTGGCTCTCTGCTGAGGCCAACCTGCCCTGAGTTCCTGGTCTTGCCTTGCATGCATTAGTGAGGCTTTTTCAAACACATTCGGAAGGGCATTTACTCACAATGCACAATCAGAAGTAACTAGTCCTTCCACAACGGGTCACCCCCAAAATGTAACCTATTCTTGTTGGTAGTGGTGGTGGTGGGCAGGTTGGGCAGGGAGGCAGTGGTGTTGGGGGAGAGCACATGCGGAGCTACCACAACAATGGATGGCCCCACCGACCCCACTCGTCTCACATGCACGGGAACCAGCCGACCACCGCCATCCACCTGCGCTACCAACTCCCACTGCTGGCGTGTCATGCCAACTGACTCCTGCTCGCCCTTCTCCCTCCCACCCGCCTCTCCTCTCCTCTTTCTGTCGCTGCTCTTATCCACCTTCTCCATCCTTGCTTCCTCCTCTCCCCTCGCCTTTTCTGCTTCTCCTGATCTTCCATCCTCGTTTGAAGCAGTCTCGTTAATGAGCACCATGGCAGCATGGGCTGGCCGACGCCCCCCACGCGCAGTTCCACCCAGGTGCCGAGGAATGCGAACCACCCGGCCAGCAGAAGCACTGGCCTTCACCAGCGCTGGTCCCTCAGAACATGCGGGGCAGACCGTCAGAGGGACCACCACCACCACCGCCCCCCGTTCCCATTCCGCCCTTCCCCTTCCCCTGCTGCTCCACCGTGACCCCGCTGCTGCTCTGGGCGGTTGTGAGGGGGAGGCGGAGAGGGAGCGGGGGGAGAGTGGGGGAGCGGCAGCTGCAGCAGGCGCGCCAAGGCGACTGCTTGCGTGCCGTGCACGGTGACAGCGGCGCTCACTCTCCGCCTCTGTCAGCGTGCACGCTGACCGCAGCGCCTGACGCGAGCACGACCTTCCTCACCTCGCCCGCATACGTGTCGCCGAAAAAAAACACGATTTCGCTTCATTTTCATCCCAGGAAATAGCATGAATCGCAGCAAATGCCACATCACCACTGGCGCAAAACTGGACCATGTGCCTTACCTGCCAATGCACGTCTTAGTTATTTGGAGGTGGATCAGTAGGATTGGTAAAGGAACGAACCCACTTGGGCAACCTCAGACTGATGTCACTCCAAACGGCAGACACCCACGGCACACCACTTGCGAAGTGCACCTGCATGAAAGACAACAATGATCAGACCTTGGATATTTGTCACCACACTTGCAGAAATGCATTATGTTTTTCCACAAAGAAAACAAGCTGTAATGTGTGCCAATATGTCAACTCACCGGCTGGTACCCATCTGTGTGCAGCTCATACTTGGGCGAGTACACATGCACCCGTGTGGTTGCTCCAAATCCCAAGGGCAGCACTGCCCATCTGCCTGTCAAAGCATCTCACGAGTGACAACACTCACCGGCTGGTACCCGTCTGCGTGCAGTTCGTACTTGGGTGAGTACACATGCACGCGCGTGGTGGCTCCCAATCCCAAGGGCAGCACTGGCATATCAGTGGCAGCACCAGAGCCCGTTGCTCCCTTTCCTCTTGCTCCAGCTCCACACGCAGCAGTTGAATCGTGCTGGGAGGTTGACTCATGTGCGGTGCCGGTGTTGGCACTTGTGTTGGCGTGGGAAAGGATGGGGAGCGGGCCAGAGCCGGTTTGAGGGTGGTAGAGGGAGGTGAGGGGGAGGCGGTGGTGGGTCCATGCGAGGATAGAGCCCCTGAGGTTGGCCGCGTGCATGCTGTGGTGCGATCGCAGCATGCGCGCGTAGTTGCCGCTGCGATAGCCTATGGTGCTGCGAGGGGGAGAGGGTCAGGAAGAGGTGTATTGGAAGCGGGGCAAAGTTAGTGAAAGGGTGAATGGAGCTCGTCAGGTTGGCTGAGTGCATGCCGTGGTGCGATCGCAGCATGCGCGCGTAGTTGCCGCTGCGATAGCCTATGGTGCTGCGAGGGGGAGAGGGTCAGGAAGAGGTGTATTGGAAGCGGGGCAAAGTTAGTGAAAGGGTGAATGGAGCTCGTCAGGTTGGCTGAGTGCATGCCGTGGTGCGATCGCAGCATGCGCGCGTAGTTGCCGCTGCGATAGCCTATGGTGCTGCGAGGGGGAGAGGGTCAGGAAGAGGTGTATTGGAAGCGGGGCAAAGTTAGTGAAAGGGTGAATGGAGCTCGTCAGGTTGGCTGAGTGCATGCCGTGGTGCGATCGCAGCATGCGCGCGTAGTTGCCGCTGCGATAGCCTATGGTGCTGCGAGGGGGAGAGGGTCAGGAAGAGGTGTATTGGAAGCGGGGCAAAGTTAGTGAAAGGGTGAATGGAGCTCGTCAGGTTGGCTGAGTGCATGCCGTGGTGCGATCGCAGCATGCGCGCGTAGTTGCCGCTGCGATAGCCTATGGTGCTGCGAGGGGGAGAGGGTCAGGAAGAGGTGTATTGGAAGCGGGGCAAAGTTAGTGAAAGGGTGAATGGAGCTCGTCAGGTTGGCTGAGTGCATGCCGTGGTGCGATCGCAGCATGCGCGCGTAGTTGCCGCTGCGATAGCCTATGGTGCTGCGAGGGGGAGAGGGTCAGGAAGAGGTGTATTGGAAGCGGGGCAAAGTTAGTGAAAGGGTGAATGGAGCTCGTCAGGTTGGCTGAGTGCATGCCGTGGTGCGATCGCAGCATGCGCGCGTAGTTGCCGCTGCGATAGCCTATGGTGCTGCGAGGGGGAGAGGGTCAGGAAGAGGTGTATTGGAAGCGGGGCAAAGTTAGTGAAAGGGTGAATGGAGCTCGTCAGGTTGGCTGAGTGCATGCCGTGGTGCGATCGCAGCATGCGCGCGTAGTTGCCGCTGCGATAGCCTATGGTGCTGCGAGGGGGAGAGGGTCAGGAAGAGGTGTATTGGAAGCGGGGCAAAGTTAGTGAAAGGGTGAATGGAGCTCGTCAGGTTGGCTGAGTGCATGCCGTGGTGCGATCGCAGCATGCGCGCGTAGTTGCCGCTGCGATAGCCTATGGTGCTGCGAGGGGGAGAGGGTCAGGAAGAGGTGTATTGGAAGCGGGGCAAAGTTAGTGAAAGGGTGAATGGAGCTCGTCAGGTTGGCTGAGTGCATGCCGTGGTGCGATCGCAGCATGCGCGCGTAGTTGCCGCTGCGATAGCCTATGGTGCTGCGAGGGGGAGAGGGTCAGGAAGAGGTGTATTGGAAGCGGGGCAAAGTTAGTGAAAGGGTGAATGGAGCTCGTCAGGTTGGCTGAGTGCATGCCGTGGTGCGATCGCAGCATGCGCGCGTAGTTGCCGCTGCGATAGCCTATGGTGCTGCGAGGGGGAGAGGGTCAGGAAGAGGTGTATTGGAAGCGGGGCAAAGTTAGTGAAAGGGTGAATGGAGCTCGTCAGGTTGGCTGAGTGCATGCCGTGGTGCGATCGCAGCATGCGCGCGTAGTTGCCGCTGCGATAGCCTATGGTGCTGCGAGGGGGAGAGGGTCAGGAAGAGGTGTATTGGAAGCGGGGCAAAGTTAGTGAAAGGGTGAATGGAGCTCGTCAGGTTGGCTGAGTGCATGCCGTGGTGCGATCGCAGCATGCGCGCGTAGTTGCCGCTGCGATAGCCTATGGTGCTGCGAGGGGGAGAGGGTCAGGAAGAGGTGTATTGGAAGCGGGGCAAAGTTAGTGAAAGGGTGAATGGAGCTCGTCAGGTTGGCTGAGTGCATGCCGTGGTGCGATCGCAGCATGCGCGCGTAGTTGCCGCTGCGATAGCCTATGGTGCTGCGAGGGGTAGAGGGTCAGGAAGAGGTGTATTGGAAGCGGGGCAAAGTTAGTGAAAGGGTGAATGGAGCTCGTCAGGTTGGCTGAGTGCATGCCGTGGTGCGATCGCAGCATGCGCGCGTAGTTGCCGCTGCGATAGCCTATGGTGCTGCGAGGGGGAGAGGGTCAGGAAGAGGTGTATTGGAAGCGGGGCAAAGTTAGTGAAAGGGTGAATGGAGCTCGTCAGGTTGGCTGAGTGCATGCCGTGGTGCGATCGCAGCATGCGCGCGTAGTTGCCGCTGCGATAGCCTATGGTGCTGCGAGGGGGAGAGGGTCAGGAAGAGGTGTATTGGAAGCGGGGCAAAGTTAGTGAAAGGGTGAATGGAGCTCGTCAGGTTGGCTGAGTGCATGCCGTGGTGCGATCGCAGCATGCGCGCGTAGTTGCCGCTGCGATAGCCTATGGTGCTGCGAGGGGGAGAGGGTCAGGAAGAGGTGTATTGGAAGCGGGGCAAAGTTAGTGAAAGGGTGAATGGAGCTCGTCAGGTTGGCTGAGTGCATGCCGTGGTGCGATCGCAGCATGCGCGCGTAGTTGCCGCTGCGATAGCCTATGGTGCTGCGAGGGGGAGAGGGTCAGGAAGAGGTGTATTGGAAGCGGGGCAAAGTTAGTGAAAGGGTGAATGGAGCTCGTCAGGTTGGCTGAGTGCATGCCGTGGTGCGATCGCAGCATGCGCGCGTAGTTGCCGCTGCGATAGCCTATGGTGCTGCGAGGGGGAGAGGGTCAGGAAGAGGTGTATTGGAAGCGGGGCAAAGTTAGTGAAAGGGTGAATGGAGCTCGTCAGGTTGGCTGAGTGCATGCCGTGGTGCGATCGCAGCATGCGCGCGTAGTTGCCGCTGCGATAGCCTATGGTGCTGCGAGGGGGAGAGGGTCAGGAAGAGGTGTATTGGAAGCGGGGCAAAGTTAGTGAAAGGGTGAATGGAGCTCGTCAGGTTGGCTGAGTGCATGCCGTGGTGCGATCGCAGCATGCGCGCGTAGTTGCCGCTGCGATAGCCTATGGTGCTGCGAGGGGGAGAGGGTCAGGAAGAGGTGTATTGGAAGCGGGGCAAAGTTAGTGAAAGGGTGAATGGAGCTCGTCAGGTTGGCTGAGTGCATGCCGTGGTGCGATCGCAGCATGCGCGCGTAGTTGCCGCTGCGATAGCCTATGGTGCTGCGAGGGGGAGAGGGTCAGGAAGAGGTGTATTGGAAGCGGGGCAAAGTTAGTGAAAGGGTGAATGGAGCTCGTCAGGTTGGCTGAGTGCATGCCGTGGTGCGATCGCAGCATGCGCGCGTAGTTGCCGCTGCGATAGCCTATGGTGCTGCGAGGGGGAGAGGGTCAGGAAGAGGTGTATTGGAAGCGGGGCAAAGTTAGTGAAAGGGTGAATGGAGCTCGTCAGGTTGGCTGAGTGCATGCCGTGGTGCGATCGCAGCATGCGCGCGTAGTTGCCGCTGCGATAGCCTATGGTGCTGCGAGGGGGAGAGGGTCAGGAAGAGGTGTATTGGAAGCGGGGCAAAGTTAGTGAAAGGGTGAATGGAGCTCGTCAGGTTGGCTGAGTGCATGCCGTGGTGCGATCGCAGCATGCGCGCGTAGTTGCCGCTGCGATAGCCTATGGTGCTGCGAGGGGGAGAGGGTCAGGAAGAGGTGTATTGGAAGCGGGGCAAAGTTAGTGAAAGGGTGAATGGAGCTCGTCAGGTTGGCTGAGTGCATGCCGTGGTGCGATCGCAGCATGCGCGCGTAGTTGCCGCTGCGATAGCCTATGGTGCTGCGAGGGGGAGAGGGTCAGGAAGAGGTGTATTGGAAGCGGGGCAAAGTTAGTGAAAGGGTGAATGGAGCTCGTCAGGTTGGCTGAGTGCATGCCGTGGTGCATGCCGTGAAGAATTACCTGTTGCTCCCTGCTCCATATCGCCCCTTACCTCTCACACCTCCTTCTACTCTTACCACCCCCACTCCCCCCAAGCACCTGTGGACCACCCTGAAACCCCCTGCATTCCTCTGCACCCCTCTGCACCCCTCTGCATCCCACCTTCTCACCAGTAGCACACGACTTGGTGATCGCTGAATCGTCCCATCTGCCGCTCAAAGTCGCTCTGCTTCAGTGTGCCGCCCGGAATCATCGACACTGCTGATTCCTCCTCTGTACGTGTGTCCACCACCACTACCCGCCGCCCACCCCGCCCACTCTCTCCCCCTCCCACTGCTGCTTCCCCTCCTCCTGCCTCGCCTCTCAAGCCCCCTTCCCCAACTTCCCCTCTCCCCACTCCCCCATCCGCCTCCCCGTTCGTCCCCAATCCCTCTCCCCCACCCGCTGCCTGCTGCGCCAGCAGCAGCTGGTGCAACTCAGTCACGTCCATCTCGGGCACCTGGCGGAAAGGGAGGGAAAGGGGAAAGGGAAAAGGGGAAAGGGAAGCTGTTGGTGAGCCTGTGAGATTTTGAGACGGCTCAAAACCCAAATTCTATCATGCAAGTGAGCCTGTGAGAGGGCGGCTGCAGCGGCTGGTGCAGCCCAGGCACGCCCATCTGGTGCAGCCCAGGCACGCCCATCTCAGGCGCGCGGCGCAGGGAGACAAGTTGCCCCGAGCATCGCACAGGTTCAGCATCTTCCGTATCATCCAGCTCAACGCTTACGTCTTCGCACAGCTTCTCCCTTATCCGATCGTACATCCCACCCCATAGCTTATCCGTATGAACCGGCTCAAAGGTTACCGTATATATATAAACAGCTTACGTCGGTAAAGAGCTTGTCCCTCATCCGGTCGTACATCTCCCATAGCTTCTGACGCCGCTGCTCCCCGCCCTGCTTCGCCGCTCCCTCGCCCGCCGCGGCCGCTGCGACGGCGGGCGACTCCGCGCTGCGACGCGAATCGTCGCACGCCATGCGACGCGTGCGGCGTCGCAGGAAGGGAGAACTCGCGTTAATGAAACGGGGGGGGACCGACGACAAAGGGAGGCGAAAGTGGTGGCGCGATGAGGAGGAGGCGTGGGGACGGGGTATGGGATGGTAGCGGTATCCTTGAGAGAGTCCTTGAGATAGAGTTGGCGGCGCGGCGAGAAGTACGGGCATGACTGAACATGAACCACACCAACAAGCTCCTCAAAATTGCAGCCCGTATCCGAAGCACCAAATCTGTGAATTCGTACGCCTTATAGTACGTGGCCATTTACTGCAAACCTTTCCAGTCATTGTATATTTGAAATAGCAGATAGCCATGAGCTGTATATATTAGATTTCTCAAAAGGATTACGTTAGTCTCCACAAGCCAACATCAGGAAGAGTACCGTAGACAGAGGGGGGTAAAAATAACTCTGAATTACTGGGACAATCCAGATGGAGGCTAGTAGGCAAACTAGAGCAGCGTCAAGGCTAATTCAGACCAAGAAACAAGCCTTTTGGAGAATACACTCTATCCCCTCTATTGCTCGTATCCGCCTTGGGACCCACCGCCACCAGGGTAACCCGCTCCCTCCCCATACCTTCCACCGCCGTACCCACCCCCTCCTCCCCCATACCCACCGCCGCCACCACCACCACTGTACCGCCCTCCACCACCGCCGTATCCCCCACCGCCGTATCCCCCCCTGCGGCCTCCCCCTCCTCCTCCTCCGCCCTCTGTCCTGTTGGAGGCATAATCAACGCGCACTGTCCTTCCACTCAGCTCCTGCAGGGGTTGGGCGACAACAAGGGGGGTGAAGGGAGTGTGTGAGGATGTGTGAGGAGTTTATCCATCCCTTGCTCTCTCTGTCCTGCTGGAGGCATAGTCAACGCGCACTGTCCTTCCACTCAGCTCCTGCAAGGGTTAGGTGACAGGATAAATGGGCGAGTGTGAGTGTGGGAGTGAGTGAGTGAGTGTGTGTGAGTGTGTGTGTGGTAAGGAAGGGTTTAGGCCTCTCCATCTCTCCAGGGGGCATAATCAACGTGCACTGTCCTTGTCCTTCTACTCAGCTGCTACACGGCATGGCGGGGGACAAGGAGTGCAAAGTGGTTGTGAGAAGAGGGTCTGAGAGGGGGGCAGAGAGTGTGGGAGAGGAGAGAGTGTGAGGGGTTTGGGTGTGGGGGTTGGGGTGTGGGTGTTAGGGGGGTAAAGGGTACGGACGGTGGATATCTTGTTGATGATCAATAAACCAGACTGATCTCCCACGTCAAGTGAAAATGGCGGCAAAAAAAGACATGGAGAGTGGATATCGGGGCTTGCGTGAAAGTTGCGACGAGGCTTACGTCACAAACCCTGATTTTTATATAAATGGTACCTTCGCGCACCTTGATTCCTGATCACCCTAACCTCTTTGAGACTGGTGAATCTACTCTCTGCCGAAAATGGCTAACCTTGATCTGACCCCTTGCCCCTAAAGCCCAGATACTCACCTTGCCGTTAAGCCCTCCCCGTCACCTTGCCCCCACCCACCCACCCTCCTGTAAAATCTCCTCCCCCTCACCTTGCCGTTGACGCCTTCCAAAGCGCTAGCAGCCTCCTCGTCCGACGCGAAGCTCACGAACCCGAACCCGCGCGACCGACCCGTGAACCGATCCCTGATCACCTTGGCTGGAAGTTGAAGGAGGGAAACGACGGGAGACGGGAACGGACGGACAGGGAATGGAAACGGAAGGACGAGAAATTGGGAGGCAGGAGTTTTTGAATTAAAATCAAAACAAGCAAAAAGCCGCGCAAGCGAAACGAGAGCTGAAAGCGAAAAGGAAAGTCAATGCTGGGCGATGGGCGAGGGCGAGGAAGGATGTAAGTTTAGGGAAAGGGGACGGGGGACGGGGGAGGGGTATAAGCGGTGATCTTGGTAACAGAAGGTGAATGATTTGCACAAAGAGAGCTGGGGTCACAGGCGGCTCATAGAGTATGGTGGATGGCGGAGGGGGGTTCGCCGAAAGCGGAAAGCAGAGCGCGGTGGGCGGAGAGCGGGGTGCGGAGGGAGGACGGCGGAAATGCAGCGGAGAGAGCGGGCGCACCTTCCTCGACGGTTCCGTAGGCAGAGAAAGCATCCGCCAAGGCCTTCTCGTCGGCCTCCCATGCGAGCCCTGCTCAACCAATCGCACGGATGGAACGAGAGACACACGCGTTGGGGTAAAGAGACCAATATGTCACAAATGCACGCACATGTCCAATCAGTGGTGTTAAAAAAATCAAACATCATTGCATCCTAAGCGTGACGGCAGGGAAGAGGCGTGAGAGACCCGCGTGGTTCACTGCCGGCAAGAAAGCTCTCTCCTGCCGGATCTGATACGCGACGAACATAGCCGTCGCCGTCTGCCACGCGAATCATTGCTGGATCTGTGCATGCGACAGATCTAGGCTCGAGGTGACTTTTGAGTCGACTCAAAAGTGACCTCGAGTCATCCCTGGATCTGGACATGCGACAGATCTATACTCTAAAGAACGGCGTGGGCTTCAACGGATCCACGTGGCAACGGTATAACGGAGTCGGAGACGGAAACAGGAAGCGAGGAACGCGCCTTCGATAAGCTGCGTGTTCCCCACGAGCATCGGACGGCGTGCCTCATTTCCAGAAAAGACATCCGTACCACGGTAGGTTTATCAGATCTAAAAAACGGATGGACCAGTGGGTGACGAAAGTAAGAACGAAAGTGGTGGCGAAAGCGGTAACGCACCACCGATGAAGAGCTTGTTGCCGGACATGAACCGGACGGCTTGCGTCATGGCGGCGGGGAGCAGCGATAAGTGCGGCTGCGGCGCGTGGAACGCGGCGAGCGCGTCATTGGCGCTGCCTTGTGTGACTGATCTCCTCAGCACGTTGCCGATCCCCCGAAGAAAAGCCATCGCGAATGGTTGTCAGAGATTAACTGAGTGAGTAGATCGTCACGCGGCTGATAAGAATCGCTGCTTCGAGCCTTCAGCAGGAAACGGGAGGCAGCAGAAGCACCGAACACAAGTTATGCAAGTCTGAGCAACGAAAGTACTGGACGAAAAGCGAGCAGAAACAGTTCGAGCTTGAGGTTATATTGGCACGAGGGCGAGGGAGAAGCAGCTTCAGCTGCTCGCCGCTGCTGAGCAAGAATGGCTCCACAATTGGAGGTGAAAATATCATTGCTGTGCAACTGGTGGTTCTTATAGCGTACCCGTCGAAACGGCCTGTAACGAGTTATAAGTCTCATCGAAATGCATCAGCGAATCCGGGTGTTAGGTTCGGTTAAATAGGTACGTGCTGACGGGGCCGTGGAATCTCAAGTCTGGTGAAGTGCTCTGCGCGGATCACGTGTGTCGAAAAGCAAAATATCTTCGTGGTCCACCACCAGAATGCTAGTACACTAGAATGCCCCCATGGTTTACATCTTTAGAGAATATACCACATGCAATTGCTGCATGGGTTACACCACATGATATTAGGCTAAAACATTTTAGTGGTACCATACTTGTCATTGATGAGGCTGAATGGACTAACTCAGCAGTATTACCTAAAGGAGCGGCCAAGCCTAGCGGCAACAATAATGCACTATTCACTAGCAGAGATGCTCATCACTAGCAGAGCACCATCGCTAACGTGTTAGGCAAAACACACGACAAAATAAATACTTGATCTTAGTAAGCCGATGCTCGTTTCCTTAGCCCTGGAATGAAAGCTGAAATCTCCTTCTCCAGGTCTTCTAAGCTCTGCTCCAGCTGCTCCTGGAAATCCCTATCCTCTTCCGTCACCGCCCTCCCATGCACCACTACCGCTCGCTTACACACCACCACAAACCGCACGATCGCAGACGTCAACATCTCCAATTCCGACGGCTGTAATTTCTCCGGATCCTTGGCCCTCGGATTAGCCCCTTGGGGATTCGCCTGGTAAAACGCCATACACACCCCCAGCACACCACTGTTAACCTGCAGCGCCACACTCCCCTGCAGTAACCGCTGCAGCGTTTGTAACCGCGGCAGCTGTAGCGGCCCAGAACCTGCTGCCATTGCTGCAGCTACAACCGCTGCCGGATCCTTCTTTCCAGCCGGCCCTCCCGCCGCCCCTGCCGCCCCAGAATCCCCCAACTGGCTGGCCATTTCGGCCTCTAGTGCAAACGACCGAGACTCAATAATCTCCACAGCGCACTGGATCGGGGAGTACTCCCGAACCTCCGACCGAACCACCGGCTGCCGGCTAATCAGGCTCGGGAGCGTGCTCTGCGTGTACAGCAGCGTTCGTCTCTTCCACTGATCCTCCATCCGCCCCTGCTGCTTCCCATTCGGCGTAAACGGCGTGTCAAAAAAGAAACAACTGAACGTGGGAGTCCCGGCAATCGGCGGCTCGAGAGGTCTGCCGAGCCACCGACCCTCCCCCGCACCTACCACAGGTTCGACGGCGGTGATCTGCATGTAGACTAGGTTCGGCTTGAGGGCGGCAGGGTCCACTTGGCGTGAGTCCTGGATGATCTGCAGGGGCTCCTCGTCGGGCGAGCGGGCGTCATAGAGTGCTTTGAGCTTCTCCATTATGTCTCCCAGCCGCACGTCTCGAGGCTCTCGATAGATGAATTCCCTGCAGTGGAGGGGGGAACGGGGAGAGCAGGGAGAGGGTGGGCATGGGGGGCGTGCAGGCATGAAAAGGTGGCTCCTCGTCTTGAGTGCCGCTTGAGGGCGGCAGGGTCCACCTGGCGAGAATCCTGTTTTGAGTCGACTCAAAACACGGCAGGGTCCACTTGGCAGGAGTCCTGGATGACTTGAAGAGGCTCCTCGTCGGGCGAGCTGGCGTCGTAGAGTGCTTTCAGCTTCTCCATGATGTCTCCCAGCCGCACGTCCCTTGGCTCTCGGTATATGAACTCCCTGCAGAGGGGGAAACGAGGGACAAGGACAGCAGTGCAGGAAGAGTAGGGAGAGGGATGGGCATGGGGGCGTGCAGGTATGAAAAGGTGGACCCTCGGCTTGAGGGCGGTGGGGTCCACTTGGCGCGAGTCGTGGATGATTTGAAGGGGCTCCCCGTCAGGTGAGCGCGCGTCGTAGAGTGCCTTGAGCTTCTCCATTATGTCTCCCAACCGCACGTCCCTTGGTTCGCGGTATATGAACTGCCTATAGTGACCAGTGACCTGTGACCTGTGACCAGTGACCTGCCCTGCATGTGTCGTCGAACCACTCACCTGCCATCGATGTATCGGAAGCGTTCCCCATAGAAGCCGACTCGATAGTAGCAGGCGTCCTTGAAGGGGATGGGGCTCGTCTCCTGCTGCTCCACGTTCTCATAGATGGACGCGATCTTGTTGTGCGTCTTGGTCAGCTGACGAAGGCAAGGGAGAGGGGGTGGGGAGGGGGAGGAGTGAGGCAAGGATGGCAGGAGTCAAGGTGCAACTAAGGGCTCATCGTTCCGAAGTCCAAGTTGAGACTTACCCTGCACTGAGAGTGGCACAGACTCAACCCCTATCCAAATCAAACCAAAACACATCCATACCTGCTTGTAGTCGTGGCGGGTGCGGTGGAGCGGCAGCAGCAGGGAGAGCATGAGAGCGCAGAAGTGGAAGAGCTCCGCCTTGTAGAACAGGTTGCTCGCCCGCTGCACGTGCTGCACCGCCCCCTCCACCGTCACCCACGCCGCCCCGAACCCTGACTGGGAGGAGAAGGCCCGCGCGCGCCACTGGTGACGGGCCAAGGGGCAGATGCTCCAGAGGACTTCGAGGTGCTCCTCGTCCCACACTGGTTCCTCCGACGCGATTTGCAACCCCTGGAAGGACGAGAAGGGAGGGGCGAGAGGAGGAGTATTGGTGTGAGCGGCACTGCCACTGGTGGTGGGCCAAGGGGCAGATGCTCCAGAGCACTTCCAGATGCTCCTCGTCCCACACTGGCTCCTGTGACGCGATTTGCAGACCCTGAACTGACGACAGGATGGGAGGAGGAGCAACAGGGGAAAGGAAAAGTGAAAGGTGGAAATAATCCCGAGCACCGTCACCTTCAACAGCAAACACTCATCAAACCCTGACTTCACGCAACTGTGAAACCCTGACCTCTGAACCCTCAACCCTGGTAGGCAGCAAACCATGGGCCACGAGTGTACTTACCCGAATGACAATGCCGGCCACAGAGACAGCGCATTGGGCGGCCTCGGCCCACTGGTTCATCTCCTGGTGCGTGTCACAGAGGTGCAGCATCCACATGATGTACAGATCGGGCACGTGTCTCCCCATGCCCAACCAACCCATGGTGGCAGAATTCCCTATCCTTACCCGAATGACAATGCCAGCTACAGAAACGGCGCACTGAGCGGCCTCAGCCCACTGGTTCATCTCCTGGTGCGCGTCACACAGGTGCAGCATCCACATGATGTACAGATCGGGCACGTGCCCGTACGCCTGTGCAAGGATGTAGTAACTCTCCACAATTGCATACTTGTCGTTGGATGTTTTCAGCCCCTCCATCTGCATGGGATGAGATGAGAGAATAGGCAGGGAGGCATATGGGGAAGGATCAGGGTATGGGTTGAGCTGATGCAACATCCACATGATGTGCAGGTCGGGCACGTGCCCGTATGCCTGTGCAAGAATGTAGTAGCTCTCCACAATAGCATACTTGTCATTGGATGTTTTCAAGCCCTCCATCTGCGAGTGAAAAGGGAGGGCATAACGGAGTGAAGGGACAACGACGGGAAGGCCTTGCGATCAGGCAAGTGCCCTGTTGAACAGCAGTGCAACATGGGCAACCATGCAACATGGGCAACCATGCAACATCGGCAACCGTGCAAGGTGGGCAAAAAACAAGACCTACCAATTGCTCATGCTGTGATGCGGCATCCACCACAGTAAGCAGCATGTCCTGACTTCACTACTGGTGCAAAAAGATGACTTCAGATTTGAACCAGAATTCAAGACTCACCAGTTGCTCGTGCTGAGACGCTGCATCCACCACCGTGAGCAGCATGTCCTGAGTCTCCTCCACATTCGCCGACGTCCATTGAGGTGACTTTATGAAAGACAAAGAGTACCCAGTTGCTTGTGAAACGAAGCTCACCAGCTGTTCGTGCTGTGATGCCGCATCCACCACTGTGAGCAGCATGTCCTGAGTCTCCTCCACATTCGACCACGTCCACCTGTCCCTCTCCCTCTTCCTCCTCCTCCCCACCATCACACTCCCCCCTTCATCCCACTCCTCATACTCCTCCTCCTCGTCCTCCTCATCCTCCTCCTCCTCCTTCTCCTCATCCTCCTCCACCACAATCTCCAGGCAGATCGACGGTAACCCGCACTCATCCAGCAGCTGAAACCACTTATCCTCTGTCCCAAGCTCTTCCAGCGAAAGCCTCAGTTTCTCAACCTCTGCGGACTCTACCAGTTCCCCAGCGCCCCCACCCGCACCGCCAGCAGCAGAAGCGATGCTAGAGGCGCTGGAGGAGCGAGAGGCGGGGGCGGGGGAGGGCGAGGGCGCGTGCAGCAGGCGCATGTGGGAGAGGACTTCTGAGAGAGCGACTGTGAGGATGACTCTGAGGCGCTCCACGTCCTTCATGTGCAGCAGAGCGTTCTGTTAGTGGGAAGAAACAGAATGAGGAGGGGAGGTTGGGCAAAAGGGGGGATTGGTGGAGGGCGAGGGTGCGTGCAGGAGGCGCATGTGGGATAGGACCTCTGAGAGGGCGACTGTGAGGATGACTCTCGCCCGTTCCACGTCCTTCATGTGCAGCAGGGCGTTCTGTGTGTGGGAGGATAAAGAGTGACGGTGAGGATGCAGGGCGTTCAGCGGAGGAATGGGGAAAGGTGATTGGGTGTAGAAGGAAAACAAACGAAGGGATGGTTGCAGGGAGAGGGCACAGCAGTGAGGGCACAGCAGTGAGGGCTGTAAGTACATCAACAAAGTAATCAACTATGCCATATCAGAAACCCGGCACAGGAATACGCACGCGCAGGAGAAGCAGCAGGCAGAGCAGAGCTCTCTTCCTGATGAACTCGGGGCGGAGGGCCATCTGCTTCAGCAGGCTGCCAAAGAGGCCCTTGAGCAACACGTCGCCCCCCTTAGCTGCTGCCCCGGCACTGTCAGCAGTGTCAGCCGCGGCAGCAGAGGGCGGGCCGTCCAGCATGGCCTTTCCGTGCAGGCGCAGCATCTCAGCAAAGGCTGGCACCAAGGGCTCCCAGAAGCTCATTGGCTGGAGGAGAGGGGGAGACGGGCGGATGGGGGAAGGGAAGAGGCGATATCAGAGGGGCAGAGAGGCACGAGAGGGCAGCAGAGGGCGGCCCGTGGAGCATGGCCTTGCCATGGAGGCGAAGCATTTCGGCAAAGGCTGGCACAAAGGGCTCCCAGAAGCTCATGGGCTGGAAGACAAGAGGGGCAGGGGGGTTGGAGAGGCGGATACATATGTGCGTAGAGTGTGTGAAAAGGGGCTGCATATATGTGTGAGTGCGCGTGATTATGAGTCAGTGTTTGGGTGTGTGGGTGAAATACAAGCACACCCACCTGGGGCAGCGCGAGCATGACGGAGAGCGGGCCAGTGAGGCAGTCCATGATCTGATAGTCGGTGGTGAGGCATGTGGTTGGTGGTGAGGCATGTGGTTGGTGGTGAGGCATGTGGTTGGTGGTGAGGCATGTGGTTGGTGGTGAGGCATGTGGTTGGTGGTGAGGCATGTGGTTGGTGGTGAGGCATGTGGTTGGTGGTGAGGCATGTGGTTGGTGGCGCACGTGAGCATTTCTTTCGAGCATAACGTGTGCTTGTGTGTGTGCTTGTGTGTGTGCTTGTGTGTGTGCTTGTGTGTGTGGTTGTGTGCTCGTTCTACCCACCTGGGGCAGAGCGAGCATGACGGAGAGAGGGCCAGTGAGGCAGTCCATGGTTTGATAGTCGGTGGCCACGAGCCCATCAGCAGCCATGTCGCTGAACTTCTCCACCACCTCCAGCACCTGCACTGCACACCATGCCGCCACGCTGGCTTCCCATGTTAGCTGACAAGTGGATACGCATTTAGGGGAAAAACGGGAACGGAGAACAGGAGAATGGGAGAGGGGAAAAAAAGAGAGTGAGTTGATGCAGCAGCAACAAGTCCATCAGCCGCCATGTCGCTGAACTTCTCCACCACCTCCAGCACCTGCACCGCACACCATGCCGCTACACTCGATTCCCATGTTAGCTGGGGATGGGAGGGGGCAGAAGGGGAGAGAGCGAATGAGGGAACAGGGGAAGGGGGAATGGGACAAGGGGAACTTCTCCACCACCTCCCCTGCACGCACACCACACCATGCTGCCACACTGGATTTCCATATCAGCTGGTGGGAGGGAAAGAAGACGGATGAAGTGAGAGCATGAGACGGGAATGGGAGGGCACAGAATGGATGAACATAGCTTCTTCACATCACAGACTCCCTTCCCCCAGACCTCCTCCTAACCCGACCCCACCCCTCTCTCCCTCCTCCCAACAAACTCACCAGCTTCCCAGAAGCGCTGGGCGGCAGGTTTTGTCTCATCAGAGCCATGGCATCTTTGGGCGGTATTCTCGATCGGGCGAGCACATCCCTTAACGACACCGCCGACCCTTTGCCGCCCGACACGGCGCTGCCCGTGACCTTTCGGATTATCTGCTCCCTCTCCAGCAAGGCCTTGGGATCTGCCCGGGCCATCTCGTCCAGCTGATCATTGGTTGCCAGGGAGACTCGGTCCGAGTACATCGGGATTGGTGGCGGCTCCACTGCCAGCGTGGCGTCGGCGGGTGCTGACGTGGCTGGGCTGGATTTGGTGGCGGTGGGGCGGGGCTTGCTGCCAGCTGTCAGCTGTGGCGGGTGCTGTGGGTGATTAGGGGAAAGGGGGAAAGGAGGGGAAGAGGAGGGGGAGGGACGGAGGTGGGGTGAGTGGAGTAGTGTGGAGTGGAGAGCGGTGGGATGGGATGGATGAGGTGATAGCAGGAATGGGAGGAGAAGCAAATGCAAAGCAGCTGCAAGGCCACAAATCAATCACCTGAAGCAGCACCAGAAACCGCACCTAAGAAAGAAATCACCTGAGGCGGCACGGCACCTGAGAATTCACCTGGAAGAGCACGAGGGCTTGCTGCAGGAGCGTGAAGAAGAGGCGAGTGCGCACGTCGCTCTGCTTCCACGCCTTGAGCAGCGTCTCATTATCTAAGTTCCGCACCACTGTGAGCATGACCACGAGGATCTGCCTCCTCTGAATGACCCCTAGAGTGTGGAAGGTTTCGACCTCGTCCAGGATCATGTTGACGATGGGCATGTAGAGCTGCGCGATGTACAGCTTCAGCTCCGGCTGCTGGTACCGCGCATCGTACTCGTGCTTCGCCACCTGGAAGGCCAGCATGCGCGCAGCCTGAGAGTGGCAGGGGGGGGGGGGTTGGATTATATAGAGACAGATGATCCCTCAAGACACATGCAATGAAGAGCACGCATTCAAGGACATGCAAAGGGTCAAGTGCATTCATGCATGCATGCATGGAGGCATGCAAAGAGAAAACTACACATATACAAAGAGGCAGGGGCATACCAGCGATCGCTGACTGGGGTCCTCGTGGTCGAGGCTCACAAAGAGGTCCTTGAGAAGCACTGTGGTCAGGTAGTTCCTGGTCAAGAGCGGTGATGAGCGGTGATGGCGGTGGTTCGAGGAAGCGCAGAATTTAGTAGAGGCGAGCAGATATCGCAGAGAGAAACATGGGGGCAGCAAGGGGAAACAGCAGAATCAAATATTTGCATCGCGACTCACAGAAGGACGGTGCTCTCAACCCCAGACTCTATTATACTGAACCCTCAACTCGGAACCCTGAGCCTGAACGCTAGAGCCGTAAGGCCATACTTCTCTGTAGGGCCTCGGCCAGGCGTCTCGATGTAGAGGTCATGGTCGCAGACAATGCGGAGGAAGTGCAGCTTGAACATGTGCTGCATGGGCGGACACACGCCCACGAACTGCGAGAGGAACAGACCGACCTGTTGTGAGGGAGAGGGGGGGGGGAGGGAGATAGGGGGAGGCGGTGCGGGGAAAGCAGGGGAGGAAGTGCAGGTTGAACATATGGTGCATGGGCGGGCAGACGCCCACGAACTGCGAGAGGAACAGGCCGACCTGCGATGGAGCAAAGGGCAAAGGGGTTGGGCAGGGGAATGAGGGGGTGGAGAGAACAGGAAAGGGAGTGGGGGGTTGTGGGAAGAGGGTAAAGGTTGAGAGGGGTGTGAAGAGGGAAACATAGACCGACACGATCAGGCTGAGGGAACCACAAAGAAGAGGCAAGCGAATGGGGCCAACAAAGCCTCCTACCAGTTCGAACACTTGTGGCGGGTCAACGACGGAGATGAGGTGGTAGCAGAAGAAGGAGATGGAGGAGCTGAGGCTCTTGGCTGTGAGCCAATGTTCTCAAGTTGGTTCATGAAATAGCTGCGCTTTAGGGAAGAGGCCTCACCAGTTCAAACACTTGCGGTGGATCCACAACGGAGATGAGGTCGTAGCAGAAGAAGGAGATGGAGGAGCTGAGGCTCTTGGCCAGGGGCGGGTCTGACACCGCCTTCTCGTGCACCTCGGCCAGCAGGCACTCAAAGAGCTGCCGGATGCACAGAAACACCTCGTCCTCTAGCCTTAGACGCGCGATCTCATCCCCTGTGTGGAGGAAGTGGAGAAAAGGAAGGGGTGTGGGGAAAGGAGGGAGTGGTGGGCATCAGCTTAGTGATGCACCTCGGCCAGCAGGCACTCAAAGAGCTGTCGGATGCACAGAAACACCTCATCCTCTAGCCTTAGCCGCGCGATCTCGTCCGCTGGTGGTGTCATGTCCGGGGGAGGAAAGGGGGGATTGGGGGGGGGAAACGGTGGAGGATTAGAGGTGGCGGAGGGGATAGGTGAAACGAGAGCATTCACATGCATCCCGGCCAGCAGGCACACAAAGAGCTGCCGGATGCACAGAAGAAATGTGCCCCCCAACCTCAGGTGAGCAATTTTATCCCTGGTCCATGGGGTATCAGCTCTTGAGAGTCGTCAAAGGTGATGGTCAGCTCAAAACAGAACCACGCCGTCTGCTCTGCAGTGCGGACTGCACAACGACCTGCTACCTCACCATACCATATCTAAACTTTCTCAGCGTACCGCATCATATCGCATCGCACCTTGCGGCACCTGGGCCAAGTCCAGGTCAATGGACTTGACAATGAGCTCCAGCACAGACCACGCCATCTGCTCTGCAGCGAGGACTGCATAATCACCTGCTTCCTTCCCGTATAGTATCCAGTTAAAACCACATTGCATCGCATCGCACCTTGCGGCACCTGAGCCAGCTCCAGGTCCATGGACTTGACAATGAGCTCCAGCACAAACCACGCCATCTGCAGCGCCTCCGCATACACGGGCCCCACTCGGAACCCTCGCGACTGGGGGGCATGGGGAGCAGAGCGTGGGGAGTGGTTGGGGGGGAGAAGGGGAAACCAAGAAGCACGTGAGAGCGAGAAGCACAATCCACGCCCTTTGCAGCGCCTCCGCATACACGGGCCCCACTCGGAACCCTCTCGACTGGAATGGAAGGTACAGGGAGCAGAGCATGGGGAGCGGGCACAGTGTTGGGGGTGGAGTGGGGGGAGAGAGAGGGGAGGAGCAGGCGATGTGTTGTTATGTCACGCGCCTCAGAATACCCCGGATCCTATCAAAACCCCGCAAGACTGGAGAACATACCCCACTGTTCACAAATTTACCTTGTTGTGTGCGAGACTGCGCCACACGTTGCTGAGCCCCAGGTACACGGGCGGCTGGTTGCGACCAAGCTTTGCCTCTCACCCCTCCCCCATTCCCCTCCTCCCACACGCACACACACATCCCAGTGGCACACGCACCTTGCTGCGCGCAAGGCTGCGCCACACGTTGCTGAGCCCGGGGTACACGGGCGGCTGGTTGCGACCGAGATCGTCAAATATGAAGTCGACAAAGTGCACGAGGAAGCGACTCCGCTCCATGGGGGCTGCACCTGCCTGCGGTGCTAGCTCCAGCTGCACTCTGCTCTCGAAATAGGGGAAGGGGGGAGTAGGGGGAGGGGGGTAGTGGCGCACGGGTAGGGATGGGGAGCAGTGAGACGAGAAGGAGGGGGGGAGATGAAGTCGACAAAGTGCATGAGGAAGCGACTCCGCTCCATGGGGGCTGCACCTGCCTGTGGTGCTAGCTCCAGCTGCACTCTGCTTAGTGGGGCGGGGAGGAGGGAGCACACACATAGGTCGGTTGCGGCCGAGGTCATCAAGAATGAAGTCGACAAAGTGCACGAGGAAGCGACCGCGCTCCATGGGGGCTGCACCTGCCTGCGGTGCCAGCTCCAGCTGCACTCTGCTCGCAGGGGAGGGGGTGGTGTGGAGGGTGCGACGAGGGGAGGGGGAGAGCCAAAGATGAAGCCCATACAGTGCGTAAGGAAGCAACTCCGCTCCATGGGAGCTGCTACCTGCGGTGCCACCTCCAGCTGCAGTGATGCGGAGGAGGGGGGCACACCTAGCCTAGGCACGCTACCCAGGAGAAGGAGAAAGAAAGAAAGGGGGGACGATGCTGATCATGGCTCGAAAGGCGGCAGGAGAGATGGGTGAGAGATGGGCGTGAGAGATGGGCGCGAGAGAGAAAGGGGGGACCGTTTTTACATGCGCACGCGCACCCACCCAGGAGAAGGAGAAAGCAGCCCACCTGGAGACGATGTTGACCATGGCTTGAAACGCGGCCACCTGCAGCGTCTCCACGCCATTGCCGATCATGCAGAGCAGCATGTTGAGCAGCGGGTAGAGGAACTGCATGAGCACCACCACATCCACCGTCTTGAGCGCCTCTGGGAGGCCCTCTCTAGTAACCCACCCACCTGGAAACAATGTTGACCATGGCTCGAAAGGCAGCCACCTGCAGCGTTTCCACCCCATTCCCGATCATGCAGAGCAGCATGTTGAGCAGCGGGTAGAGGAACTGCATGAGCACCACCACATCCACCGTCTTGAGCGCCTCTGGGAGGCCCTCTCTAGTAACCCACCCACCTGGAAACAATGTTGACCATGGCTCGAAAGGCAGCCACCTGCAGCGTTTCCACCCCATTCCCGATCATGCAGAGCAGCATGTTGAGCAGCGGGTAGAGGAACTGCATGAGCACCACCACATCCACCGTCTTGAGCGCGTTGATTGCCTCCAAGAGGTCCTCTCGGGGCAGAGGCGCCTCCAGCATGTGGCGGTCGAACTGGTGGAAGAAGTCACGCAGGCGGTCGGAGAGTGGGAGGAGCGAGGAGAACAGGCGCGTGCGCACGCGGAAGATGGGGCGGCCCTCCTCCCAGTAGGTCAACCGCGACTGGTGGGGGGTGTGGGGGAAAGAGGAGCAGGTGATTCGGGTGGTTTGGGCGAGGGGGAGTGGGGAGGAGAGGGAGAGGAAAGAGGCGCCTCCAGGAGGTCCTCTCTTGGCAGGGGCGCCTCCAGCATGTGGCGGTCGAACTGGTGGAAGAAGTCCCTCAGGCGGTCGGAGAGGGGCAGGAGCGAGGAGAAGAGCCGCGTGAGCACGCGGAAGATGGGGCGCCCTTTCTCCCAGTAGGTCAGGCGCGACTGGTGGAGGGTGAGGGGGGGGAGGAGAGGAAGGGGAGGGGAGGAGATGAAGAAGAGCAGGTGGTTTGGGTAAAAAGGTGGGGAAAGGAGGGGCCTCCAGGAGGTCCTCTCTGGGCAGGGGTGTCTCCAGCATGTGGCGGTCGAACTGGTGGAAGAAGTCCCTCAGGCGGTCGGAGAGAGGCAGGAGCGAGGAGAAGAGGCGAGTGCGCACGCGGAAGATGGGGCGCCCTTCCTCCCAGTAGGTCAGGCGAGACTGGTAGAGGGTGAGGGGAGAGGGGCGGGAGAGGAGGTGGTTTCAAGTAGGCTTGAGCAAAATCGCGAACCCCCATTCGGTTCGTCTCAAACGTGTTCGTGACGAACTGAACGGGGCTTTTTTTTTGTTGGCCGAAAACGTTTGTGACGAACGTGCTCGCGATGTTCGTCGCGTTCGCGAGAAATAGGGCAAACGCGAACGGGTTCGAGAGAAATAGGGCAAACGCGAACGCGTTCGCGAGAAATAGGACAAACTCGAACGCGTTCGCGAGAAATAGGACAAACTCGAACGCGTTCGCGAGAAATAGGACAAACTCGAACGGGTTCGCGAGAAATAGGGCAAACGCGAACGGGTTCGAGAGAAATAGGGCAAACGCGAACGCGTTCGCGAGAAATAGGACAAACTCGAACGCGTTCGCGAGAAATAGGACAAACTCGAACGCGTTCGCGAGAATAGGACAAACTCGAACGGGTTCGCGAGAAATAGGGCAAACGCGAACGCGTTCGCCTGTAAAACGGGTTTGCCGCGAACCATCGCGCCATTTTTTTACAAACTCGTCATTTGAGCTCATTTTTTAGCTCAAATCAGCAGATACATCGCATCATTTTTTACTCTAAGACATACGGGAGTTTAGAGCGTTTCGCCCTCGTTTCGGCGGTGTAGGATGGCAACCAAACCCGAACAGGTTCGAGTTGGCCTCAAACGTCTAAGGTGTTTGTGGCAAACCCTAAGTGTTCGCCTGTGACCACGAACACACGAACGCCTATTTCAGGAAATTGGTTCGTGGCAAACCGTTCGGGTTCGGTTCGCCAACCTAAGGTGCTCGTTGAGGTTCGTGGCAAACACGTTCGTGTTCGCCATTTGCTCATGTCTGGTTTCAAGGGAAAGAAACCAGGAAGGAGAGGAGGAGGAGGAGGAGAGTGGGGGCATGAGCACGACCACATCCACGGTCTTGAGCGCGTTGATGGCCTCTGAAAGGTCCTCGCAGGCCACAGGTGCCTCTCCTGAAAAGCATGTGATGTGTGCGCCTCAGCCATGAAGCACCTCTGCCCCACTGTGTGGAGAAAAAATCTCAGTGGTTTGGACAGGCAGGAGGAGCATGGAACGCATAAGAAGGCGCTCCTCCCAGTACGTCAGATGCACATCACATGCAATGCTACCAGCATGCACAAACGCAATGAAGCAGTCATCTGTGCCTCACCTTTGTGCTCTCCTGCAGGTAGCGCGGCTGCAGGTCCTTGGATATGGGCAGATTCACTCACAGTCAAAGGAGATGGGTAGATTCAGGTTGCAACACGCGAACCACATGCTACCACCATAGAAAGCGCAATGAAGCAGCCCTCCTTCACTCACCTTGGTGCTCTCCTGCAGGTAGCGCGGCTGCAGGTCCTTGGATATGGGCAGATTCACCTCCGCCTTGAACGCTCTGGCACACAAGCATGGCAGATGAGACGCAGGGCAACGCATGGCAGACGTTTAGCGCCTTAGGATTGTTAAGGATCCAAAGGAATGTGCATGAGATTACAGTGGTGGTTTTGCGAAGCGAAGCAGGGCAAGGGGAACGTACTGTAGAGCAGCAGCAAGAGGCATGACTGCATAACCTACTGCCACCTGCACATAGAACAGGAAAAGTAGACACAGATCGGAAGAGAGAATTGAAGTGGGGACTCAAAAGTGATCCCCAGATTTGAAAGTGAAGAGTCCCCAGATTGATATAAACGAGAGAAGGTGAAGAGCAGGTGATGCGAGGGCGATAGAGGGCAGCTGCATCTCCACTTCATACGAAGCTTACCCCATGCTCCGTGCACGCGCTCACCAGTTTGCGTCAGTAAATGAAGGTGAGCCGCTCGCTCTCTCTCTGTACCCCTGACAAGCTTATCCCGTATGCTTAAAAAGCTTTACCAATACATTTACAGGCTCCCACTCACCGGTTTGGGGTGCTTGGTGCGCAGGGAGAGGTAGACGTGGAAGAAGGTGAAGAGCAAATGGTGCGAGGGCAACACAGCAGCCGGCAGCTGCAACTCCGATCCATAGCCCCCTTACAAGCCTTACCAGTACCCCTTACAGCCATGACTCGCTTTTTGAGTCGACTCAAAAAGCTGCAACTCCGATCCATAGCCCCCTTACAAGCCTTACCTGTACCCCTTACAGCCATGACCTCATCCCCTGCCCAATGTAACCCTCCGGCTTGGGTCGTTCGGAGCGCAGGGAGAGGTCGATGTGGAAGAAGGTGAAGAGCAGATGGTGGGAGGGCGACACAGAGGCTGGCAGCTCAGTCCTCTCTTCTCTTCTGTACCCGTCACAAGCTTACCGCGTACCCCTAACAAGCTTCGCCACTACCAGTATAATTACAAGCCCCCACTCACCGGCTTGGGCCGTTCGGAGCGCAGGGAGAGGTCGATGTGGAAGAAGGTGAAGAGCAGATGGTGTGCGGGCGACACAGAGGCTGGCAGCTGCATCTTGACCTCGTCGTGGAAGAGAGCGGGCCGTGCTCCCTGCACCACCTGGGTGGAGGCTGTTCGCAGCATGGGGCCGTTCCGCTCCTTGGGGAAGATGGCCTGTAAGAAGGGGGAGTGGGGAGGGGGGAGGGAGGAGGGAAGGCAGAGTGGGAAGACAGCTGCAGTGACCTCATTGTGGAAAGAGAGCGGGCCGTGCTCCCTGGACCACGTGGGTGGAGGCTGTGTGCAGCATGGGGCCATTGCGCTCCTCGGGGAAGATGGCCTGTGAAGGGCGTGTGGAGGGAATGGGTGAGGTGAGGGGACTATGGAACGTGGCTCCTGTGCGCCCTGCACTGCACCACCTGGGTTGACACCGTGTGAAGCATGGGGGCCCATTGCGCTCCTTGGGGACAATGGCCTGTGAAGGGGGAGCAGGAAGAGAGGGCGGGGTTTGAGACCATGGGGGGTTGAAGGCAAGTATATGTTCACCGCCTGACCTGTGCCATCTGGTGGAATGCTGCTCACCGTTGGATCGCTGCTCACCTCCGCTAGCGGCCGTTGGATTTCCCTCACCCACCCTGCTAGCCGCAGCCGTTGGATCACTTACGACCGTTGGATCAGCACACACCTCCAATGATGGCCGTTGGATCGCAATTTCCGTATGGCCGTCGGATCGCCACTCACATCTACCGACGGCCGTGGGATGTCGAGATCGACGGCCCGCAGCTCGGTGCGCAGCGCACTAAGAGGTTGAGCTTCTTGGGCAGTGCCACCTGCTGCCGCGATGCTGGCTTGCTTGCTGCATGGTCCTCTGGGCGCTGTTGGATCGCCACTCACCTTCACTGACAGCCGTCGGATCGGCACCCACCTCCACTGACGGCCGTTGGATGTCGAGATCGTCAGCCCGCAGCTCGGTGCGCACAAAGAGGTTGAGCTTCTTGGGGAGTGCGACTTGCTGCGGGTACACGAAGAGCAGATGCACGAGGCGCGTGAACGGCTCCGCCCTCACCATGTCCGTGAAGTCTATCGCCTGGAACTGGTGGGTGGGGAGAGGGGGGGAGGGGGAGAAGAGGAAGGGAAAGAAGTCATTTGAGCTGCAGAGGTGGGGCAGGGAAGGAGGGAAAGAGCAGGTGCACGAGGCGCGTGAAGGGCTCCGCCCTCACCATGTCCGTGAAGTCTATCGCCTGGAACTGGGGTGAGGTGAAGGGGGGGGAGGATGGGGGGGGAAGAGGGGCTTAGGGGAGAAGGGCAGGGAAGGAGGGAAAGAGCAGATGCACGAGGCATGTGAAGGGCTCCGCTCTCACCATGTCCGTGAAGTCTATCGCCTGGAACTGGTGGAGGAGCTTGCGGGTGAGTGTAGGGGAGTGGGAGAGAAAAACATGAGGTTGTTGCTTTGAAGACAGGAAGGAAAGGACTGAATTGCACCAACAGAGACATCCACACAGCACAGAGCACTCACCCCAGAGAGGCATTGGAAAGCGAAAGGCTCCTACTCACCATGTTGACATCGTCCACGTCTGAGGTCATGGAGTCCTGCGACCGCGCCCGGCTCACACCCCCCTTGACCCCTACCTACTCCCCTCCCCCCAAGAATTATCAGGGCATGCAGGAGATTCACGGGGCACTCACCCCCGTGAGGAACCTGGAGACAGAGAGGCTCCTGGGCACCATGTTGACATCGTCCATGTCTGAGGTCATAGAGTCCTGCGACCGTGCAGAGGCGGCACCATGCATACAGGGCATTCAGCACTCACCCCCGTGAGGAACCTGGAGACGGAGAGGCTTCTGGGCACCATGTTGACACCGTCCCCTTCTGAGGTCATAGAGTCCTGCGACCGCACCTGGTTCACTCCCCCCTTGTCCCCAACCTACTCCCCTCCCCCCAAGAAGTTCAGGGCATGCAGGAGATTCACAAGGCACTTACCCCAGTCAGGAACCTTGAGACCGAAAGACTTCTGGGCACCATGTTGACGTCATCCATGTCTGAGGTCATGGAGTCCTGCGACCGCGCCTGGTTCACCCCCCTCTGAGACGCGCTGCTGCTGAGGGATCGCGGCGTCACACTGCCGCCCGCTGCCGCCCCCGCTGCCGCCCCCCCGGGTAGTCGCTCTACCTCGAAGTGCATGGAGACGCGCACTGGCTTCTGCGCCTTCTTCTTGGGGTCCTGTGGAAGGGGGAGGAGGGGAGAGGGAGGGATGGGGGGGTGGGTGAGAAGAAGAGCTGGAGCAGGGGAGGAGGGGTCCCCCCTGCCGCCCCCCCGGGTAGCCTCTCCACCTCGAAGTGCATGGAGACGCGCACAGGCTTCTGCGCCTTCTTTTTGGGGTCCTGGGGGGGGAAGGGGGGTGTTGAAGGGTAGGAAAGGGGGGAAGACGAGGAGGGGAAGTCAGCCTTCACCAATTTTGTCGACTTAGAAAACAATAACTGAGAGCCAAGGTTCGGCAGCTCACCAGCAGTTGGTCGTCAGTGTAGCACTCCTTGGCGCGATTCAACGTGGGAATGTCAATCTGCACAGGCGGGCCCCCCAGCTCATATGCCGGCACGCGCACCCCGTTGCTATCCACCACCGGACTCGACCCCGCCCCTCCCCCCATCCCGCCCCCTTCCACCCCCAGCACACCCCCCCCTCCCCCGAGGCTCCCTGACGAGCCTCCCCCTGAGCTGCCCCCTCCAGACGCCCCGAAGCCCCCCACTCCGCCAGTGACGGAGGAGTCGAAGAGGGGAATGGTGATCCACGCGAGGGGCTCTCGGAAGGGCATCACCTGCGCCCACTCTGACAGGCGCGCTGCCTCCTTGTCCGTGAGTGTGGGCTGGAGAGAGATGGGGTGGGGGAGGGGGGGAAGGGGGATGTGGGGACGGGATGGGGGGAGGGTATGGGGGGGAGGGTAAGAGAAGAACGAAGTTGTTTATGAAAATAGAAATTAAAGGAAGGCTCATTCGCTAGGAGAGTGCAGAAACGTCAGCAAGAAAACGTTGAGCAAACTCCTCCCACTGTCTCGCCACCCAAGAAAGGAACTCAGGGAGTCATTGCGAGTGTGCACAGCCGGTTTAATTCCACTCACACTCTCCTCGCCTTTGAGTCAGCACAAAACCACACACACCCGCCCACCCATGAACCACACAAACCCCAACCACACCCTCCATGACAGCACACACTCACGGGGTCCTTGCAGGTGTACACAGCGGGCTTGATCCCATTCACGCTCTCCTTGCTCTCGAGTCAACTCAAATACCGCACATTCACCCTCGAAACAAACCCACCCGCCGTGAACCACCCAAGGAACTCACGGGGTCTTTGCGGGTGTAGACGGCCGGCTTAATACCGTTCACGCTCTCCTCACTTGCAGCCTTGTCGAGCTGCACCAGCAGGCACGGCGCCGCCGACTCCTTGTCCACCGAGAACATGGCTCGGCTGTCCGCGACCGTGCTCTCTCCCTCCCACTGCGCCGGCAGGCAGGATCCTCACAACCCACACTCACCCACTCTCGCACCAAACCCACCTTCGAGCCACACACACCCACCCACCCTGACAGCACACACTCACGGGGTCCTTGCGAGTATACACAGCGGGCTTGATCCCGTTGACGCTCTCCTCGCTGGCAGCCTTGTCGAGCTGCACCAGCAGGCACAGCGCCGCCGACTCCTTATCCACCGAGAAGATGGCTCGGCTGTCAGGGGACGTGCTCTCGCCCTCCCACTGCGCTGGCAGGAACTGGAAGTGGAAGTCCTCTGAGGCCTTCTCACGGCGCTCTGCGTGGTACAGACACATGGTGCCGCTCACTGGCTCCACCAGCCCTGCTTGCACCGTCAGGCCCAGGATGCGCACTGAGAAACGTGTACCTCTGGAGCGGGGAGGGAGGGAGTAGGGGGAAGGGTTGGGGGGGGGGAGACGCTGAGGGAGAGGGTGTAGGAGGAGCGGGAAGGGTGGGAATTGGAGAGGGTGAGGAGTGGGGGGGAAGGCAAGGGGAACTGGAAGTGGAGGTCCTCTGAGGCCTTCTCACGGCGCTCGGCGTGGTATAGACACATGGTGCCGCTCACTGGCTCCACTAGGCCTGCTTGCACCGTCAGGCCCAGAATGCGCACCGAGAAACGTGTACCTCTGAAGGAATAATGGGGGGGATTGCATGGGGGCGGGGGGAAGCAGGGAGGGAGGGAGTAGGAGTTTGGGCACATGGTGCTCCACTAGTCCTGCTTGTACCGTCAGGCCGAGATTGCGCACGGAGAAACGCGTGCCTCTGGGAGAGGAGTCAGGAGGATCGCAGGGGGGAAGGGGGGGCAGGGAGGGAGTAGGGGGGTCGGGTTGGGTGGGGGGTGCGGAGTGAGGCGGTGTGGATGGAGGGGAAAGGGATTGGGGAGAAAAGGGGTGGGCAGGGTTAGGCCGATACGTTAAGGGGAAAGGGAAGTTCATAAGCATATGAGAAAGGGTGGCAGGTGGAGGAGACGGGCAATCCATGCCACACACGTATGGTGCTTGCTTGGGATGTGCCACGCAAGCATGCATGCATGTGTCTTCCTCAGAGTGCTGGACTCACACGGAGGAGGAGGTGATGGGGCGGATGGGCAGGCGGTGGCCGATGACAGCAGCACGCTCCGAGTCCCAGTTGAAGAGCGGATCGTACGCCATTATGGTCGACCCCCCGTAGTGCTGCTCGCCATGCAATGCCCCACGACCATGCACCCACAGCCCATGCCACCCCATGCCAAGTCATGTCAACCCATGCCACCACATGCCAACCCATGTCACCCCTTGCCAACCCATGCCACCCCATGACACCCCATGCCAACCCATGCCAACCCATGCCACCCCATGACACCCCATGCCACCCCGTACCACCCCATGCCACCCCATGCCACCCCATGACAGCCCATGTCAACCCATGTCAACACATGCCACCTCATGCCAAACCGAGCCAACCCATGCCACTCCATGTCATTCCATGCCATGACATGGCGACCAATGGAGATAGTGGGGGGAAGCAGCATTGAGGGAATGAGTAAGTGAAAGAGACACAGAGTTCCTGGTGAAGGAGGAGGAGGAGGAGGAGGAGGAGGAGGAGGAGGAGGAGGAGGAGGGCGAGCGTGGGGGAGGGGGGGTGAGAGGGGGAAGGAGGGGGAGGGGGGGGGGGGGTGAGAGGGGGAAGGAGGGGGAGGGGAGGGGGGGTATAGGGAGGAAGAGTTTGGGGGGGGGGAGGGGGGGTGTAGGGAGGAAGATTTTTGGGGCGGGGGGGGGGGGGGGGGGAGGGGGGGGGGGAGGGGGGGGGAGAGGAAGGAAGAGGGGGAGTGGCAAGCAGCGACAACAATATGGGCATTGATCAATCGGCAGGACATTGAAGGCAACAGATCATTCAGTCAGCGAGCCCTCCCGTCAAACAACTATCTAGCAGGTTGGACGAATTCCCACACTCCTTTAACCCAGCACCGCGCACTGACCTCGTCCATTGACCTATCCCCGACATAAGGGTCCTCGGGTTCCTCCTCCCCTCCATTCTGCCTGTAGCCCCCTGCTTTGGAGCGAGGTGCAGATAGCCGGCGGAGAAGGGGCAGGAAAGTGGGACACAGAAAGGGGAGGAACGAGCGAGGGACGCAAAAGGAGGGAAGGCAGTGGAAGCAGAGAGAGGAAAAGCAGTGGGATAAGCGTGAGTGAAGGAAGTGGAAGCAAGGTTAAGCTCTGGAGAGGCGTCCGCGGGGTTGGAGGGGAAGCTTCGGGGTTGGAGGGGTTGAGAATCATGAAGAGACAGAAGCCAGCATGCAATGCAACACCCAACAGCCGTTTCCCCCGTACGTCACATGCATGCATTCTTTCCCCCCCCCCCCCACCCCCCGTCGCAAATACCCGTTTGCCCCTCCCTCTGACTCTCACCACGTCTGAGGGGTTGGAGGGGAAGACTTGGTTGGGGAAGGAGAGGTGCGGCGTGCCGTACTTGTTCTCTATGTGCACGATGTTCTTGCAGCAGACTTTTGAGAATCATAAATAAACACAAGCCAGCATGCAACCCCCACAAGCCGTTGCCCCCGTACGCTGACGTGCATGCAACCCCCCCAACTCCCCTTCCCTCACCCTTCCCCCCCGCTCGCAAATACCCGTTTGCCACTCCCTCTGATTCTCACCTGGAGGGGCGTCTGAGGGGTTGGAGGGGAAGACTTGGTTGGGGAAGGAGAGGTGCGGCTCGCAGATGAACGTGCCGTACTTGTTCTCTATGTGCACGAAATCCGCGTTCACGCAAAAGTCCAACTCGCGCAAGTGGGGCACCTCCTCGGCCTCCGGCAGAATCTAGGGAGGAAAGGGGAGGAATGGGGGAGGAGGAGGAGGGGAGGGAGGTGGGGAGGGGGACGAGGGACGCTTCCCAGTGGCCAGCACTCCGCGTGGAATCGCTGAGCCAACAAAAAGCGGACTAAATTATCATCGCGTACAAGGCCCTGGCATCCGAAATCGCACTCAACAAAACCGTACACTCCAATCTCCTGAAACCGCGGTCAAGTCGACTCAAAAGCCACCTCCTTAGAAACTGCATTATCGAGGTAGGGTAAGCTCATGACGCTGACTTTGACCGTAACCTAGTCCGCAGCTAAGTACTAAGAACTACAGCCACTCACCATGGAATCCAGATTGCACCCCTGTCCAATTGCCGGAGGCCGCGGGACATACTTAATCTCCAAAAGGCTCATGGTTGCTGATAAGTCAGGCCCCACTAAGGGGCCTGCTCGTTACCCTGACCGGAAATGCACAACACTAACGCACGAAGACTTTAACGAAGGCGACGACGCCTCTCTAGCTCCTCCATTTCGCCTGTTTAAAGTTTAACGTCTCATCGGAGCGGAACTATGTGCAACTGAAGATCGCGAGTCGAAAAACTACGAGGCCAGTTGCTTGCGCACTGACCACCTGATCAAAGACGACTGAGGGAACAAGAGTTCCGGCCGAACGCAATGCCGACAAGAAAGGAGGGTACCGACGGCAATAAAGCGGTGAACTGACTAAGACGTCATTGTCGCGTGTCGCTAAGGGCGGGTCCAGCGCGTACGTTTACAGGTACTATACAGTTCATTCGTCGTGGTTTGAAAAGATATTAGATGGTGCACAGCGGTTCTGAAATTTCACCGTTATGAAGCGTGACGCAATACAAATTACCGCACTGAATGAACTGTAATGTACGGAAAACGTACGCGCTGGACCCGCCCTAATGGCTAGTTTCTAGGAGCGTATCGTAAATAAAGCTATCAGGCCACCTAAATATGCAAGGTAAACTGCCTTATGTATCTGAAACAGCAATTTTGACTAACGTCGTGTCAGCCTCCGCGTTGTACATAATGGTTTTGCGCGTTTTTGTGCTCTCTGGTGCGGTGCTCTTTACCAATCAAGTCAGCCATCCCGAACAAACCTCCGCCCCCGATCCCCTCGGGGAATCACGTGGCCTGAACAAAATCGAGTAGGTTCGGTTATTGGGAACTCCTTTACTCGTCGAAGCTGCGAAGCAGTGAGTAAAGCAGGGCTGTGATTTGAGGACCTGCCTCGGCAGCACATAGTCTGCCAGGTTCGGTGCTAGACTCGAACGTCAGAACCGAATGCGTTCATTTGAATCCATAATTACAGGAAAACAGCATTATCACATAAAACCAACAGAATTTGTTTGTACTTCTTCCATTCCTGCATGGCAGCAACTCGACTATGTGAGCACTGAAACATCTCGACATATCTCATTACAATGCCTCCCAGTTGTTGACCTCCACATGCTTTACTGTTCAGTTAGTCCCATAAACTCCACTTTTTTATGTCAAGCGCGCCGCCTCCACCATGACCAGCTGATCCAGTCTAGCTGCATTCATCACTCATCTCGGCTCATCTGCTGCTGTACCTACAGGTGCAGCTGCTTTGAACCCTTGCACGGATGTCCCTTCACCTCCTGCCGCTCCCCCCTCTCCTCTACTTCCTCCTCCTGCTTCTGATTGGTCACCAGGCGCCACATCACCATCACTGGAAACAGCTTCACCTCCACTACCACCCCTTACAGCCTCACCCACCTGCTCCTCCCCTTGACCCCCCTCTCCTTCCCCAGCCTCCCCATCTCCTCTCCTTCCCTCTGCCGCCTCCTCCCCCTCCTGCCCCTCATCCACCCCAGCAGCATCGGCATCAGCATCGGCAGCGGCAGCAGGGGGCATGGAGGCGAGAATGAGTTGCTTCACGGGCTCGCAGGCTGCTTGTGTGGATACGAGAGTGGCAGGGGAGCCGTAGCAGCGGGAGACGCACACAGCCACATAAGGGCACACCACCTGCGCGAGGGGAGGGAAAGGGGGGGTGAGAAAATGCGGGAGTGGGAGAAGGGGGGAGTGGGAGAATTCATGAGCAGATGAGATTAACTTATGGTAATCGTGTTCAGCGAACGCTATACACACTCGCACAGACCACAAACACACTATCACACTCTCGCCTCCACAACCGCCCTGCATGTGCTAATAGAGAGTGCTGCCTCGGAGTCTTTGACTATGTGCGTGTGATTGTAGCAACCCAGCGACCCAGCCACCACTGCGTGTGCACTGACCTCTACACACACACTACTGAACAGAACCCCGCACACACACTTGCACTTGAACCCCCACACTCACCTCCACAAACGCCCTGCACGTGCTGATAAAGAGAGCTGCCTCGGAGTCCTTGACTATGTGTGTATGGCTGTAGCGACCCAGCGACCCCGCCACCACTGCCAGCGCCCTCTCCACCTCCCTTGCCAGCTGCTGCTTCGGGGCTGTTGGCGCACAGTGCCTCAGCTCGTTCAGTGCCGCCAGTATGCCTGCTCGTGCAAGGGGAAGAGAGGAGGGGGGGTTTGAGGCGCGTCACAAGTCGTCCTTTACCAGTGGGGATCCCGAGGCCCCCGCCACCACTGCCAGCGCCCTCTCCACCTCCCCTGCCAGCTGCTGCTTCAGGGCCGTTGGCGCACAGTGCCTCAACTCGTTCAGTGCCGCCAGGATGCCTGCATATGAAGGAGGAGGAGGGAAATGGGTGGAAATTTTATAAGTTGACTGAAAGTCAACAGGTTGGCGGGCACTTCTGCACCTTGTTCCGCTCGTGGAGGGAGGAGGGGGAGGGGGGTGCGGGGGTAAGTAACAGAGGGGGTGACGGAGGGAGAGGGGAGTGGGGAAGAGGGGAAAGACGGCGGAAGAGGGGAGGTGATGAGGGAAGGGGCAAAAGAGGGGTTGGGAGTAGTGTTCTTGAGGACGGTGAGCAAATGAGGGCAGGGGCAAGGGGGCGGTTGGGAGGCTTAACCATTAAACCGTGTCCCACATCTGCACAGCTCCATTCCCCCCCTAGCACGCACCATTCACGAACGCGGCCAGTGGTGGGTGCTCCATGAGCGAATAGGGTGGCGCCACGTCATCAAGGGATTCACCTCCCAGGCCCATGCGAGCAGCAGAGCCCATGGATGGGAGAGGCACCCATCTGTGTGTCTCCAACACATGCTGTGGGGAGAAGGGAGGGAAGAGGGGTGCATGGGAGAGGAAGGAAAGAAGTCACCACGCAGGCCCAGGCCCATGCGAGCAGCAGAGCCCATGGATGGGAGAGGCACCCATCTGTGTGTCTCCAACACATGCTGTGGGGAGAAGGGAGGGAAGAGGGGTGCATGGGGGAGGAAGGAAAGAAGTCACCACGCAGGCCCAGGCCCATGCGAGCAGCAGAGCCCATGGATGGGAGAGGCACCCATCTGTGTGTCTCCAACACATGCTGTGGGGAGAAGGGAGGGAAGAGGGGTGCATGGGGGAGGAAGGAAAGAAGTCACCACGCAGGCCCAGGCCCATGCGAGCAGCAGAGCCCATGGATGGGAGAGGCACCCATCTGTGTGTCTCCAACACATGCTGTGGGGAGAAGGGAGGGAAGAGGGGTGCATGGGGGAGGAAGGAAAGAAGTCACCACGCAGGCCCAGGCCCATGCGAGCAGCAGAGCCCATGGATGGGAGAGGCACCCATCTGTGTGTCTCCAACACATGCTGTGGGGAGAAGGGAGGGAAGAGGGGTGCATGGGGGAGGAAGGAAAGAAGTCACCACGCAGGCCCAGGCCCATGCGAGCAGCAGAGCCCATGGATGGGAGAGGCACCCATCTGTGTGTCTCCAACACATGCTGTGGGGAGAAGGGAGGGAAGAGGGGTGCATGGGGGAGGAAGGAAAGAAGTCACCACGCAGGCCCAGGCCCATGCGAGCAGCAGAGCCCATGGATGGGAGAGGCACCCATCTGTGCGTCTCCAACACATGCTGGGGAGAGAGGGATGGGAAGGGGAGAGGGGGGCAGGGTGGAAATGAGGGGAGAGGAGAAAGGAGCAAGGGAGTAGCCGAGCAGCAGAGCCCATGGATGGGAGAGGCACCCATCTGTGCGTCTCCAACACATGCTGGGTGGATAGGAGGGAGAGGGGGAGCGGGGGTGGGGGATGAGGGGGGGAGCCGGAGGGAAAGACGGTGACAGTGGCACACGCACCTGTGTGGGCCAACGCATGGTCGAGGTGGGAAAGGGGCAGAGGAAGTATCATACGCACCATGTGCGCATACCATCAATGGATGATGGGCGATGGGCGATGGGTGATGAATGATGGGTGATGGGTGATGGGTGATGGGTGGATGGGTGATGGGTGATGGATGATGGGTGATGGGTGGATGGGTGGATGGGTGATGGGTGGATGGGTGATGGGTGATGGGTGGATGGGTGATGGGTGATGGGTGATGGGTGGATGGGTGATGGATGATGGGTGATGGGTGATGGGTGGATGGATGAGATGAATGACATCATGCATGGGACATCGCAGTCGACTCATTGCAGTCCACTCACGTGGAAGGAGTCAACTGCAAAGGAGATGTTGTGCTGGAACATTCGCAGCACACACCCCCAAGTGATGAGAGGGGTGGATCAAAACTGTGTGCTTTGCGTCGACTCAAAACACAACTCACATGGAAGGAATCAACTGCAAAGGAGATGTTGCGCTGGAACATTCGCAGCACACACCTGAGAGGGGTGGATGGGAAGCATGATGAGAGAAATATGAGGGGAATGAGGGTGGTGGGAGTGATGTTACGATGATGAGGAAAGGTGACAGCAACAGGAGCAGTCATAATCAAAGAATCAGCGAATCAGTAACAGTGGCAGTGGAAGGCAATAGAAGAATCAGAGCAGCATGAGTAGCGGCAAGAGCGGCTCACGATTCAAAGAGCGGAGGCAGGAGGCCTCGGAGGTCCAAACCCACTCGTCCAAGACTCATGCCGCAGTACTGCCAGGGAGGACATAGAGAGGTTTAGGGACAGCAGGATTTAGGGACAGGGGTGCGGCGAGGTGGAGGAGAGGCATGAGGTACGGCATAAGAAGGGAGAAGAGAGGGTTGAAGGCAGGGAGAGGAGAGAAAGTAGGCATAAGCAGGAGAGGAACAGGGCTAAGGACCAATTCAACATGCTTCACATGTCCACCTGCCCGTCTCCATCTCATCATGCCGCCCATCTAATCATGCCGGCCATCTCAACATGCCGCCCATCTCAACATGCCGCTCATCTCAACATGCCGCCCATCTCACCATGCAGTTCTCGAGCACACTAGCCAGCGACCCGGCCAGATACACAGCCACCCGGTGCATAGCCCACCCATACACCAACCCCCCATCTCACCATGCAGTGCTCAAGGACGCTAGCCAGCGACCCGCCATCCTCGATTCTCGGCAGATGCTGCGCCAGCACTGCCAAATACACAGCCACCCGGTGCATAGCCCATCCATACACCAACCCCCCATCCCCCCCCGATCCCCCACCCCCCCACCCGTTCAAAACCGCCCCGCCTCCCGCCCTGCCCTTCCCATACTTCCCCAACACTCCCCCCACCCCTCCCCCGGCTCCTCCCCCCACTCCCCCGTCCCCTAGCAGAGCTGCGAGCGCGGCCGAATCCTCGTCCAGGTTCGATGAATCTGGCGAGGTGGAGGAGTGGTGGGCGAAGATGGCGTGGTACTGTGTGGCGACGTCAAAGAGGTGCACGCGGTGGCAGTCGGTGAGGCGCTTCAGATAGTCGTAGGGGGAGGCCGGGTCCAGCTCAGATACCACCTCCCCCAGCCACGCCTCCCTGCACCTCAGGAACTGAGGGGAGGGAGGGAGGGGGGGGGGGGAGAGGAAGGTGGCGGGGGCAAAAGGAGAGGAAATGACAGGGGAAGGGGAAGGGAGGGGGGAAGAGGAGAGGATGAGAGGAAAAGAGAAAGGGATGGAGCAGGGGCTTGCAGGACGGGGAGAGCCCAACATCACACGAAGTTCAAATGTGATCATGCAGAGAATGCTCGTAGCAAGCAGCACTCACAATGGTTGTGGTTGTGGTTCATTTGAGGAATCTTGCTGCTCACCTGAATCTTGCTGCTCACCTGAAGCCGCATTTCTGTTTCTGAGAACACCGCCAGTCGCCGGAGATAGCCAATCACACGCAGGCACTCTGGCAGCTGCAGGGAATGGGTGGTGCGGGGGCACAGGAAAACATCAGCAGGTAATTCGTCAGAGGAGAAATGACACAGCAGCCACATAGGAAGTTGGCTTCAGGGAAGAGAAAAAAAGGGGGAATTTGAGGGGAACAAGGCTTGGCACGTCAGATTGCAGGTTGCATCGCACGGCTTGGTGCAAAGTGAAGACACGGCAGACCAAAACGGTGGTGTAGAGAGAAGACACGTGGCAAACAGAGTCGCTCCCAAGCCTCCGCTAATGCTGCCTTTCTCCTTGAATGTCACGTTGCTTCCTCGCCTGAATGTCACGCTGCTCCCTCATTCAAATGCCACACTAGCTTCTCACCTGGATGTTGGATCGCAGCCGGAGCAGCAGCTGTGAAAGCATGGCCTGGGTGGTGTGCCGCACTTCCACTGCTAGCTGCTGAATCACAGGCAGCCTGGTGGGGTGATGAGTGGGATGATGAGTGACGTGATAAATAGGAGGCGCGTGGAGGGGACCCGACGACTCTCATTCTCAATAAGGTAAGGGTGACGATTTGTATGACTACTTTTATAAGCAGTCATACAAATCATCACCCTCACCTTATTAGGTTGCGTCTACCCTCATAAATAGTGATGCGGTGGGTTGATGCATGAAGAATGGGATGTGCGAGGATGGGAGGGTGGTGGCAGGTGCACCGAGTAGGGAACGGGGAGAGAAAGCGGGAAAAGGACTTGACTCTTACTCCACCCTGCCACCCACGCAGTTGACTCTCACTATCCCCAACCCCCCCCACGCACTTGATTCACTGCTACCCACACCAATCACCCCCACACACTTGATTCACGGCTACCCACACCAATCCCCCACTCAACCCTCCCCCACCCCCCCCACGCACCTGGCATGCATGGTGGTGAGCTTCGCCACAAACGCCTCCAGGTCCAACGCCTCGTCGTAGTTGCCGTTGCGCACACAGCTGCACACCCGGGAGAAGGAGCAGTGGGGGGGCAGAGGAAGAGCAGGAATGGCATTTGAACAGGTTCTTCACAAACGAACGCCTCCAGGTCCAATGCCTCGCCATAGTTGCCGTTGCGCACACAGCTGAACACAGAACCGCATTCACAGTCTCAAAGAAGAGGCTCACGCACGGAAGCAACAGCTCAGCTGGAAACGGCAACAAGTCTTGCAAACTCCGCCCAGGCAGAACATGTGGTCATGACTCATGAGCCATAGCAGCACCCACGTGGCAATGAACCATAGAAGCACCCACGTGGCCAGCACCCACGTGGCCATAAGCCACAGCACCCATGTGTAGCAGCACTCACGTGTCCATGAGCTGTGGGATCTCTAAAAGGTCCATGAGCGTGGGGTGGGTGGCAAGCATTGTCTTGTTCAGCCGCCTCTTCTCCATCACCCCCTGAGCCTCCTCTAGAAACTCGTTGCACCCCGTGGTGAGCTTAGGGATCTCCGATACCTGATGCCAGATACAGTGGGAAAGGATTTGATAAGATATGATAGGATCAGGCAACAGCGTAGGGATTCCCAATACATGATGTCACATCCGCTTTATTTTGGAACATGATGCAATGTCAGATTCGACAATAATGGTTATGACGAATATCTTGACAATGATATGCTTATAAGGATTCGGTCTCCACAGTCACCTCGTGACGTGTTGATTGGCCGAACATGTTGTGATACATAGTAATGATCGGTGACTGACTCGGCGTTCAAAATCACAATGATGCAATGGCTGGATGGTAACACATTATGAAATAACTGGATGAATCTACATCACTCAATGTCAGACGATCGCCTCTCACCAGAGACCCGAGGTGTTGGTCGACGGAGTTAATCTCGCGGTGGATGGACCGGATGGCGTCAGCAGCGGTGATGAACGCGCGGTAATGCGCCACCGCCACCTCCTGCATCTGCCGCTGCACCCTCTCCGCATCGGCGCGCAGAAGCTCTGGCTCCTGCCGCAAGCAAAGCGTTAGAGACGGGGGAAAGGACGACGTGAGTAAAAGATAGGTTGAATAGGTAGCAATAGACTGAGAAGCGGCAAGAATCGCAGAATCAGTGTTTCTGATTGGTCTGGCCTCAATTGAGGGAAGCTTTAATCATGCATGTATCCGGAACGAAAGTTCAAAGATAGGTCTTTGTCGCTTTTCCCCGAATCTTTCAAGAACCATGACGATGGCCCCGAGGTCCTTCTACCTTACAACCCCAATCTCTGTCGCACCTTGTTCAGCCGATCCAGGCTGTAGGAGAGCAGCTCTGACAAGTACGCATCTTGAAGCTCCTCTAACCCTACCGAACTGCCACCTCCTGATCCTTGGGCTATGGAGGAATCCCCTAGAAGCTGGCTAGTGGGCGTGGTTGGCGCGAAGCTGCGCGGAGACGAGGCGGGGAAGTACACGCGCGGAGAAGCCATGAATGCGGACGTGCGTGCGGATAGTTCTGCTATGGAGGAGCCTCCCTGAGAATTCCGCTGAGCGAAATGCGTGGCGAGTCGAATTGCAGACGACGCTACTAGGAGCCTATTTCTAGGAAGCAAAGGCTGTTGGATATGTTTCAAAGATGTCCGCTAAAGACATACCATGGTTCTGTAAGGAGGATCTTCGCATGAATAGAAAGGAACGGATAAATTTTACCTTTTTTTAGGGTGTTAATATTTGACTAATGTGCAGTTCAACCTTGCTGAGAATGATTGGCGGAAGGTCGTCCGGGCAAGTTGTTTTTTCATCCAAACAATGCGAGGCGGAAACTTTGTCACGCGCCAATCACAACTGAGCTCTACGCCAAGAGATCGGGGTGTCAGGGAAAAGTGAATTTCCCTCCAACACAGCCTCAAGGGGAGAGTGCCTTCACATTGGGCCTTCTCTCCCCGAAGGCATCAAGGGGTGCTGAAGCACACCACAGGCCTTGGGCATAGCACGAGGGTGTCACGCGGGAACTTCGCTGATTAGCTGGGCGAATTGGTCGCCCCGGGAATTTGTGCCCCCGTAACCCTAACCACGCACCAGACCAGACAGGCGCGCTTGGTCCACAAAGCTTGTTCTCGAACGTGGTTGGGTCTCGCACACTGTTCTCCGAATCAGTCTCAAACCAGGCTTCCCCAAAGCAGGCAACCAATCAGACAAACCATGTGCTTGGTCTGGTTGTAAAGTTCCCCTGCCACGGTAGCCAGCCATACCAGCTTCTAACCCGAACGCCCGTGCCTCGGCAAGCTGTGGGAAAAATGAAATTGCCGCTTCGGGAAGCCAAAAATTGGTCTTTCCAGGCAAACCTCGTCAGAAGACACGAGCAGCACGATTGTGCCTTACGAGTATTTCACGGAGATATGGAAGCCAGGAAAGCTTGCCTGATGCCGTTTTGGCACACTTGGGCCGCCTCCACGAGCTCACCTTTTCTCTGTTTCATGAGGCCGAGACTACCTGAAAATTCAATCAGTCATTAGTTTCAAAGAGCGCTACTAATACTTGATCTGTCAGAGGGCCGTCCAGCCGCTAGGCGGTGCTGGCGTTGATGGCAGTAGGTAAAATGGATGCGTCTTCTAATCCGGACGCCGCTGTTCCAGAGGAATCCAACCATCCACAGGGCAAAGAGGCTCAAGAGAAGAAAGTTACAGCAGATTCGCACGCTACTGATTTGCAGCAACCCGCTCCGTCTTCCCGATCAGGGTTAGTTCTTCCAGATTTTACCTTCAATCTGAGAATGTACCTCATCAGAGAATGTAACTTCTCATCGGGACCTACTTGCTGATTCGTGTGTTATGTTGCAATGCAGTGGAAAGATATTTATAGGGGGCATTTCATGGGAAACCAAAACAGGTGCGCAGTTATATCCTGTTTTTTTATTCCTATCCTAACTGTCGAGACAATGTTTCGTCCTTCAGTGTATTCCTGTCCTTCACGTGCACACGAATCTTCAATCTTTTCCCGTCCTTGACATGCAGAGGACTTGATCGAGCATTTCAAGCAATATGGAACTATTGTGGATGCGGTGGTTATGAAGGATCGCGCGACCGGCCGGCCACGTGGATTTGGATTTGTCACTTTCGAGGATCCCTCAGCGTGTGATAAAGTCGTGGAGGATCAACACGTCATTGGCGGTCGAGCGGTAGGCGACGTCAGATTTTGCTATATCATGATCATTTGCAAAGAAAGAGTGTTTATTGATAGATAGTGGCGTCTCTTAAGCTCGCGAAATTCGTTCTTGCTGGCTCTACGTGTAGGTGGAAGCCAAGAAATCAGTTCCACAAAATGCAAGTGCAGGACGCGGTCCGAGGACAAAGAAGATATTCGTCGGAGGCCTTGCTGGTAGCACCACAGAAGGTAACTTGAATGTGTTTCCCTGACCGCCATGTTCCCTGAAACACTACATTGTCAATCGCTGATGTATTTCTCATTTCTTGCAGAGGAATTTGCTGCGTACTTCTCGAATTTCGGAAATGTGGTGGATCGCCAAGTAATGATGGATCATAACACTGGTCGATCTCGGGGGTTTGGCTTCGTCACTTTTGACAATGAGCAATCCGTTGAAAATGTCCTTTCTCAAGGAAAAATGCATCAACTTGGAAACAAACAGGTAAGACACAGGCTAATTTTGTCCACGAAATTTGTTTTTTGCAGTCAGCACGCCTCCTATATGTATTACAATGTTTGAATTACTAGCTCTGCCTTACCATTTCTTTGCTTGCAGGTTGAGGTGAAAAAAGCGGAGCCCAGGAGAATGGATGCTCCTGGAGGGAATGATGGCTTCGGTGTAGTACGGGGTCGTCGTCATGGTGTAGAGTACAGCTCGGGAGGCTACGGGATTCCGGGGAGCTACGGAGATGCCCCGATGCCTGCTTACAGAGGCGACTACGGCTATGGCCCTGCTTATGTAGGTGGTTATGGTGTTCCCTATTCCGCCATGTACATGGGAAGCGCAGGCTACAGGCCATACCCTGGCTATGGGGACTCTTACGGCGGAGAAGGCCAATATCAAGCAAATAGTCCTTTCAGTGGAGCAGCAGGTGCCAGCGCTTATTTGCCTAATGCTGGGCTCCAGTATGCAGAACCCAGTGAAGGATACGCCCCGCCTAATTTTCCTGCAGGGTACCCTCAAATGGGACCATGTCCGCCCACAGACTACACAATGGGAGGGACGTATGTAGGTGGGGCGTATGGTGCATATCCTGCTGGTCCGTATGCCCCCCCGCCACCTTCACCAGTACATCCAGGCTTTCAAGTCGAAAGAGGTGGAATGTTTCCTGGGCCTAGTCAATATCACCCTTATGGGAGGGGGTGAGTTTTTGCATTGTGACCTTTACCACTAGGCCCTTATGGGCCTAGTCAGTAGGTGTGTTGCTATAGTGAAATGCCACAACAGAAACAAAACAAAGAAAAAGGCTTCACCTTTCTGTACTTTGTAAGGCATACAACAAACAAACAAATAACATGTGTAATACTGGTAGCTAGGTATATAAATGTAGAGAAGGCTTTCGCAAATTTGATTGGTGGTGAATGGCAGACGAGCGGGTTTAAACCTGATGGAGCCGGTAGCCCCCTGATGGAGCCGGTAGCCCCCTGATGCCTGTCCCCACATTCTCCACCTCCCCTACCATCATCTTTATACCAGTAGTTGAGTACCTTATGTGCATAGGGACGTGTGTGGGTCTACAGTTCAGGATCTTGTGTCTGTACGTATGTAGGTAACGATCGATTGGTTGAATTGCAGTCATATTGCATCCACTTTGTCACCAGATAACAAACAAGCCAGCAGAATTATGCGTACACAAACAAGCCTGGACATGTAAGTAGATACCGGTAAGTGAAATATAAAAAACGTAATACGCCAACAATTACATGAACTATATTTTTTTGTTGGATTATTTTATTGAAATTTCAAATTTTGGAACCCTTCTTTTGCAAATCCTTCAAATTCATCAAGCAAATCTATAGTATAAAGAGTTAACCAGAGTTGAAGGATTTTCTATTTAGCATACATATGGTGTGTAAAGAAATGCAAACACTTTTTATTCTTCATTCGATTTTGAAGTGATTGTTGCGAGCATTCACTCGTGCGGTGGGCTGGTAAACGCACAGTGCTTGGGACGACATTACACGTGGCCCAAATCAACCAAGCATACGACGTTTATCTGATTGGTTGTGAGTCATTGCCCAATCCATTTCCGTGAGACCTGTCCAATCCGTTGGCAACTGAAATCCCAGTACAACGTCCAGAAGCCGATCGGTTGGCTTCGCGGATGCCCTTGCCTGACCCAGTAATGTAATCACACAACCCCACTTTCTCAGTTTGCCAGACTTCGCTCCAGCAAGCTCATCCAACTCACCTTACGCCCTTCAGCTAAACCAGAGCTGACGCCATGGCCGCCGTGTCCACCTCCGCTTTTGTTGCCCCCAGCTCCATCAAGAGCTTCGATGGCCTCCGCGCCAGCGCCACCCCCAGCCGGGTGGTGAAGTTCGCTCCCCTGAAGGGCAAGGGTGCCCTTGGTGCCCGCGCTGACTACATTGGCTCCCCCACCAACCTGGTCCGTTCCCGTTGTGGCTACGTTAGATGTTTCTGTCTCTCTATTTTCTTACCGTTGCTCGCTGTGCTGGTTTCGTTGGACATTTCGTATTAGTTTCGACTCAACTCCGTTGTCTACCTCTCTTTTTCCAGATCATGGTGAGCTCCATCGCTCTGTGCTTCGTCGCTGGCCGCTTCGGCCTTGCTCCCTCGGCGAACAGGAAGTCCAGCGCCTTCCTGAAGTTGAGCGAGAGGGAGACTGGCCTTGGCACCAACGACCCTGCCGGCTTCACCGGCACTGACGTGCTCGCTTTCGGAGTTGTCGGCCACGGCATTGGCATCGGCATCGCCCTTGGCCTCAAGTACATCGGCGTGATCTAAGCGCTACCAATGCTGTACATTCCAAGAATAGATAATGAAACGTCCTCAATACAATTCTTAATTTAAACAATTGCCAATAATATCCTAGCCAAAGCGGATCATGCTGCATGTCTATTGTCTACCGATCCCATGGGCACCAAAGATAGTCACTTAGAAGTTTCATTTGCACCATGGTGATACAAATCAAGTTTGCGGTGCTGCACAAGAACCAAGAATGGCTAGCAATGACTTTCCCAATGTTAGAATTACCTACACCCAGTAATATCCAAGCGAGAGAGTAACATGCTGAATCAGCAATAGTGGTATCACTTGATATACACACCAGCAGGATATATGCTGCATGTCTAATGGATTGTTTAAATGCACATCAAAGCTTGGAGTCACTGAAAACCACTGGACTTTCTGCTCAGATTGGTACACATCAAGCCGGCGGTGCTGCACCAGGACACAAGAATGCTGCATGCTGCATGTCAAATGAATTGTCTCATTTCACATCAAAGCTTGGAGCCTCTGAAATCACTGGACATCCCGTGCGCA